TATCAAATACAATTAGAAAAAAAAGAATTAAAGCATAAAGCTCCGAACAGCAATATCAAAAATTATTTCAAAAGTTCTGCTCTTATACATTTGCTAGGTTGTTTTACAACTTACTAATATTAATAAATATTATTGAAATTAATAATGAAGAGTTGGTGTTAAAAAACCAGTATAAACAGGAACGTGTCATTTTAAGCAGAGTTGAATGATCGCTAGCTGTGGAATCTACGATGCACGTTTCGTTCTATTCGGTATTAGCCAGTTGAATGTACCTGACTTTTAAAGTTAGTCCCGTAGTAAATGTCATCATTGGAATTCAGATACATTCAGCTGCCGAGTCCCAAATAGGACGTAAAGCGCAACCTAGATTCTACTGCTAGACACCGTCGATCTCTGAGAATACTGCTGGTAGTTTACTAGTAATATGAAGGTGATCTTCACAGAATGCATAGCGGACAAAAGGGACTGATCGATTACAGTCCTCAACATCAATAAGAAAATTCCAAACAACCAATACAAACGAATAATTATATGATGTTGACGAAATGGTGACTGTCAACAAGACTAAGGTTGCCGACTCATCAATGTTACTATTACCACTACTAATATTACTAATCTCAATTGTAATTCCTTTTATATTGAAAGAAAAAGGGACGCCGTTTATCTTAAGATGGTAGTATTAAATATAATTTCATAGTAATATTCAGGGTCAAAGTGTATAGTGTAGCGGCGAGGTTAAAAATACCGCAATAAACAATCATGATAGTGTTGATTGTTTTGTTATACACCATTTGTTTGGGAAGAATTGAGCATTCGATATATATTCAAATTATCTGTACCTAAAAAGATCGTAAATATCATACAGAATTCATACGATCGACTACACTGCAAAGTCGTGAATGGAGTACAGCTGACAGATGCATTCCCAGTGAGGACCGGAGTCAGATAAGGCTGGTTACTCTCCCTCTTCCTCTTTCTTCTGGTGGTCGAGCGGATTATGAAGACTTCGAAATCTGAGAGGAAACACAGAATACAATGAACAATCAAGAGATTTTGACTTAACAGATGACCTGGACCCTCTATTCCAGACACACGAACAAATGCAGATGTAGACAACCAGTGTAGCAGCAGCTTCTACATCAGTAGGCCTCAACATACACAAACGAAAAAGGAAAATACTCAAATACAACACAAAGAACACCAACCCATTCACACCTGATGACGAAACTCCGTAAGTTGTGGAAACTTTCATGTACCTGGGAAGCACCATAGATGAACAAAGGAGGATCGGATGCAGACGTAAAGGCGAGGATCAGCAAAGCAAGGGCCGCATTCGTACAATTGAAGAATATCTGGAACTCAAGACACCCGCCGACCGACATCAAGGTCAGAATCGTCCGTATGAACGTCAAAACAGTTCTACTGTGCGGATATTTTACAAAGGCTAAAATATGGTATGTGAGATATTATAATTATGGACTTATAACTGTAGAGTGTGATGATGAAGTTATTGAAAATAGTTATTCGCTCGAATATCCTCTTCATTTTTAAAGTGTAAATCTAAATTAATTATTAACCATTTACTAATTACAAATAACTTAGATAATAACGCACAAAACTTATCGGAACTATTATATTTTTATAATATTTTTATTGTCCATTTACATCGTATGTACTTTTATTGTATAAGTTAGGTCAAATGTCCGATGATTTTTTTTCAAACAAGGAATTATTTTGTTTGAAAATTTCATTTTGCAAATTCATTAGAAATCTGTATTGATAATAAAACACTATTTACGTTATAAACTGATCTTATTTAGACAACTATTAAAAACGTGGAAGCGCTAGACAACTATTTTGTTTTAGTATCTATCGGACTCTTCATCAGTACTCATTGACAACCTCACAAAGGATCGAATTCAATATATTAAGGTGTTTAGGCAAGCACGATGCGAAATACTGAAAAACTTGAATGGAAACATTTTAATTATTGTCATACTTTTGTCTTTTAGTATCCTTTAACAACATAAAGTTGGAGGCAATTGCATCGGAACTCATTCACTCATTATTGTGATCCATTAAGAAATAAGTTTCATCATCTGAACTATCTCATTTGAATAATAAATGGTTGACACTGACTATTGGAAAATTTTTACGAAATAAATTTTTTTAATTAATTGCAATTCGAATGTGTGTTTAGAAGAAACTTGTTGAAATATTAAATAATAGTTTCTAAGAATTCTTTCAAAAACGGTCACAAATTTCTAAAATTTTATTAACAGTGCTAAAATGTTACCAGGAATGTTAACCTCAAATTCTTTCTTCCTAATTTAATTTTCTGAGTGATTTTCATATTTTTCAGATAGGTTGCCATTGTTTTTAACTCTTTAGATTTCTGTATGCTTTAGTATATTTTCGACAATATTTATACGAAGTTGTACTATTTCGTTTTGTTGCGCTTGTTCTACCTAAAATATCAAGTTTTCTTACTGTTCATCTTCTCTGTATGCTAACCATTTGGTGTTAATATGTTGTGTGCTAGTTCCTGTTATCGATTTCCACAACAGAACGTGTAGTATTGGGGTAGTTAAATCATTTCTAATCAAGCAATTATTGTAGATGATAAGTGTGCCAATGTTATACCTACATAATCCCTAATTGACTTAGGCGTAATACTGAAAACGTTTAGTATGACAATGTGTAGTGAAAACATAATGACTGCTAATATGGATTCATTCGACTCTGGAAATAAATCAAAATGAAATACGAATACACCACTAATTAGATGATTTATCAGATTTGTGTAGACTTAACTTAGTAGTATTTAATAACAATGAATCAATAAATTACTTTGTGAACATATATTACAATATTATGCAATTAAGCATCTATAATTAACAGATATAATTAACTAATTAAGTTATATAATTACTTCTTTACAGGATGTCACAGACAATTAGAAAACAAATCGATTTCATATGTTACTTGCACTTCATTAGATTAAGTCCTTGTTTGGCATATTCATAGGTTTGTATTGAATTTCAAATACTGAAATTAAACAATTCTTTGCTGTAAGAGAATTGATAGTATCAAATAAAAGTATCATTATTATTTGGCCTCTTAATTAACATATTAAGAATTTCTATCATTTCCATCAAAACAACTCATATCAGTGGATAAGATTATTTTCAATTAGGTTTTCATTAGGATTTATTCTAATATATATATATATATAAAGTCAAACCAATAAAGTCAGTTACCAGCTAAGTGATAACAATGAAATAGTTTACACAAACAAATGAGCAACAGAATAAAAATTCATAGTGATGTGACAAGCGGACTGGTAGTAATATAAATGATTACAAATATATTATTTTTATTTATAAATGATAACAGCTTGAATCGATACTCCAACATAGGAAGTAGATCAAAACACAAAAATAATGATCATTAAAAGTTATTAGAATTTCGCTATATGGACTTTTGAAATAATTTTGATCAGTGAAGAATGTGTGTGAAAAAAGGATTGAAGAAAAATAAACTAACAAACGATAAGCAAAATATTAATATGGATAGTAAATATATTATTGATAATTAGTTAAATTGTATGTTAAGTCTTATGAATCTAAAGGTAACAGATATGACAAGTTTCTCCTATATTTGTTGCTGTACTGATATAGAAGACGAGATTAGACCCAGTTAGGAAATGACGAAGGTCTACGGTAGATTACCATTTTCAACCAAGTGTGGTAAGACGGAACTATGTATCATCGTTGTCCAACCCTTTCCACACCACGCAGGGGGTTGTTTACTCATTCGTTGACCAATTTATCTTGTGAAATGCTTTATATAGATTTTTCTACAACAGCGAATCAATCTGTGTTTACATAAATGTTAGTGTATATTAGAGTATTTAATATTTAATTAAAACAATATTGTTTGCTTATATGTATTGTTCATAATTAACAATCAGATAATCCTCTAATCATACAATCAAATCATATCAGTGTGGCTGTTTCGGTAATGTAAACTATAAAATTCATCAATCGCCATAGACCACTTATATTAATAAAGTTCATACCGCGATCATCTCAGCCATGGGAAACGTGAAACAGTTACTTGTCGAAGTTAGAAATGTAATTTATTGAGTACTGGCTCACTTGTTCGCAGGATAAGGTAAAACCGCCCGAACTGAAGGTCCTCTGCTCAATCTACGAATGGATTGTGAATAAAAATTGGTCAAATATTTTTATGAATTTCGTATAAATGACTGAAATACTTGCCGACATTGTAGGAGGAATGACGTTAGTCTGTAAAAATAAACAAAATTGTAGTCTAGGGATTGATTAATTTCGCTTAGTTTTGGTTTGTACTTCACACTAAACTTAGTCATCATATCAGTGGAACGTTTGACTAAACTAATTAATTTATTACTTATTTATTTGAACACATAAATATTGGTACAAGGGGGCACCAGATATATATGCGCCACTTAACTAATTAAACCTCTTATCTACGTTATTCCTTTAGAATTAAACAAGATCTAACAGCTCAGGTGATATGCTAATCTAAATAATACAAAATGAAGAAGTGTATGTATTTAAAGCACAAAACAATTACATTATACTGCATTCTATTGAATTATATTGTGTTTTACTCTCATTTTCCTAAAAAACATTGAAACATAATGATTAAGACTTAAGAGTTGCACACACAATTGAAACCTTACTCTATTTATATTGATTATTAGAACATACGGTAGTAGAACTCATGAATACATACACATTCACAAAATGCTAGAAGTGAGTCTTACGAATAAACAAACAAATTAGTAGTTACATGATTATTGTGCTGCTTTATTACTATTATTATTATTATGATTACTTAATAGTAGCATATTTCCTTCTTGTCAGTAGAATACACAAAGTGAATTTCGATGAATAATATTTCCAGATAATAATCAAGCATCTTTTTTTTCATGTTGTGTTTTACCTCCACAGGAGTTTCATGAACAATTTAGCAACCTATATAAAACTTTCAAAGATTGAACAACCACGTCAAAGTGTCATGGTAAGTAATATGATTATTCTGGATGGCTTTATTCGATTTTATGTTTTTGGTACAGAATAGAATTCTCAGAACAAAATATTTTGTGATCGATTCTGACGATAAATATTGTGTGATTACCAGTTAGATGTTAGCAGTTCAGGAATCGACCTCTGAATAATGTATATTGTTTTCGATGAATATAACCAGCCATCACTATGTCTCTGATTGTATGTTTTTGTCAATTGTACAGTGAGATGTCGTAAACTGTTCATGAGCGCTCTTGAAATATGTTGTGCAATCAATAGACATAATGATGTGTTAAAACAAACAGAGGAACAGATAACTCAGATATTCAAGCAAGCCTCCAAGTGATATCAAGTAGTATATTATTAAAGAATATTTACACTTTTAAACATATCACCACTTGCTTTAATATTCACACTAACTGATCACTATGTAAATGGTATTTAAAATTTTGTGTTTGTCCAATCGTTTTTTTGATGTTGATTGAATCTCATCGAGACAAAGTTGTATCAAAACAAATCAAATATGATGTCAATTTGGCTTTGATTAATGGGTTAACTGACTGTCCTAAATTGTTCAATGGTAATGTTTCAAACTTCGCAATTTTGTTTAATATCGATTCAAATCTCATCATGAGCTGCAATTCCCTTTAGTTTGTAATTACACCTTGTTTTACGTGTAAATAATGCTAATAAATCATGAAGCTTGATTAGTTCAGATATTCCTCACCATCAGCTTCAACAGTAGTCTAATAGAGTAATGTTGAATTGACCTTTTTTCATTAAACAAAACAAATGTTGAAGAAAATAACTAGATGACTACGTAGTTCAAAAATTAAATCGTTATCTTTATTCCAAACTTTGTTTTTTCTTGATAAGATTGTCAAGAAATATTGAAGTTCCAATTCAGTATTATAAAATGTTGTATTTAAGTTAAAGTTTTTATTATTAAATTAGTTACATAACAGTGATTCAATTGATCCTCAGGTATTTGCATAGATCAACTAGAAATGATTTAGAATGTAAAATATTTTGGTTTTTTGTTTTCAAAAAGTTTATTATTACGTTATGAAATCCTATCTTAATATCCAATCTGTATTATGTAATTCATCTTGAGTATGATTGTTACACAATTATTGTTGTGACCACTGTCGTACTAGTTATATGTGATACTAGGAACTATTACAATTTTGACTAGTAAAAACACAAAGTTCAGTGAATGGATCACATTTCAACGTACCTATTATCAAGCTGCACAATCGTTTATATATGGCTTGATAATAGGTTCGTTTAAGAAAAACCTTTCGCTAAAATTCATGTTTTAAATGTTTAAATGGGGATTTTACGATTAAAAAAAATAGGATCACAAAAACTAGTGAACATGGAGATTTTATTAACCCTTCAAAACACGTTGTGTTTGACAAAAAATACACCCATTTATATAAATGTTTTTTTTATATACGCTTGATAATGAGTTAAAAATATCACATAGAAGGAAAATACCCTGAGACACTGTAAACACATGCTGAATTGCTACGAAGAATAGAAATGTTACACTAAACAAAACTCATATTAAACTAATCCAAGAAATATTGACCTTTACATGACGTCTTATTAGTTACTGGTACGATAGTACATAACATTAAATAGAAATGGTCGACTTAAATGTATGCACTAAATTTGTCAACTCTGTACATTTATTATTATTCTGGTTTAAGAGCTTATAACTTGTGGATATATTTTCTCAAAAGAAGCACATAATACCTTGATGAACCCGTTAATCTCCGTTGATTTAGATAGCTAGGATATGTGTTACTATAAAAAACCACGGACTACTTTAATGATCTCTGTTGCCTGGATTGAAAGTGGGTTGTATGAAGCTATGGCCTTTCAAACCAACAAGTAGTGCCGATTCATGAAGTCACTAACTATCGATATGGATTATGTTAATCAATTGAAGTCCTCGCTATGATTGTGATTGTTTGGTTGAAATTTAGAAATGATTTGACACTCAAAATCGATTGCAATAACTCAAATGCTTTAGTTTTGTATGTTCTCCTTGATTTTCGACTTTTAAAATTGCTTCATACTTCTATCTTACAAATTCATTTCTTTGTTTCGTACCAGTATTATCAATATTCACTCATCCTGATACCAGTTTGATGCCGATTTCAATACATCTTATATGTTTTCATCTCATCGTACTAATGTAGTGTAACAACTATCAGTATACATATGTGTCAGATCCTACATTGATTCTAAGTAGCTGATCGACTGAACAACAGCATAAATAATAATTTAAATTTATTAGACATTTATTTCTTCATTTAATGCACCATGAAAATGAAAGTAGTAAAAAAACACTTTAGTCATTGATACAACAACTGACATAATAATATTGTAACTGGAATGAAGTTATATGATTCACTAAATTAATCAGCTAATAAACCATCATCATCCGTCAGATATAAAAGATAGAATTTACATTACAGGCTGATTTTAGGTATACAAGCATTATAGATTAAGAAGTTCTGGACAGTAACTACCTATGGATTTCAATCATACCGAGTGTGAGGTAATTACGCATTAGTGACACTGGAAGATGATTGAGGACTGTCTCCAGTTGATTGAAGTTAAACATGTGGACGATTAGATACTGGCTTTGTGATCCAAAGATTATGTACTCGCTTCAATATTTGATGGTCTTTGATTCAACCCCGAGTAGAGTTGTGTTTATCCACACTTATGCTTGAATAAAACAACTTTCCATGCCTTCCTTATTTTCAATAGTTGTCTAGTTAAGATCAGCCTAAGATGTAAACTTTGAAATTCAACAATCTCCTCAAAACGGTAAAGCAGCACCTTTTAAAGGTATGTCATCCGTCCAACTTGCCACAATAAATTATCAATGGTGAAACTAAATCTGGAAAAAACATGTTTAATAAAGGAGAAGTTTCAAAAACTAATAAGTTACTCTAACCGCATTCATTGTTAGTGTATAAAAAAGTGCTGAAAATATGGTTTGCTGTTTCTTCATGTATAGTTTGTTCAACAAAAGCGTACACTTAAAGAAATGACAACGATACGATTAATAATGGTGATGAATGATGCATTATGCTTTGGGTGCGTTGTGAAATTTGTTTGTTGATGTAGAGTTTAGTATTTGAGGAGTTATGAATCCTTATAACAGATTGTTGTGGAGACTGTTGAACTTGGAGTTTCACACCATGAATTGGCTTTGGTTACACAACTATTGAAAGCAAGAAACCACTAGACAACTGTTTCATCGCAGTTGGAGACTCCTCAACACTGTGCACCTACGACCCGACTAACAGTCAGATGTAAGAGCTCCGGGTTATGTGACGCGCGCTTAAGCCTTGGACTAATGAGTTTTCATTTATTGATCTCCATTTCTAACTTCAGTCGACTCAGGATATTGCGCAATGATTACATTTGTCTCACACACGGTTGAACTCCATCGGTCATGACTTCTTATTGGAACTCCAGGAATAAGTAACCCTAGAAATTAATCATTCGTAAGCACATGATGACTGTTATAATGTTATTATTGCTAACCAAAGTCAACCTGTGATATCGAAATTCAGTTATTTGGATTCATTTTAATTTATTAGTGTCCAGTCATTGGAACTCAGGTTCGAGTCCCGTTTCACTTACGTTCTTTTGGGTAGCCAGGTATTATCACTGGCCCTTACTCATACGCAATGTTACTTTAAGTCTGTTCATATAAATCTGTACTTGGAAAACTAGTTATTCACTGTTAAGATCACGATAGAACTGTAAACTTATAATCGATTACTTTCTATAAACTTCAAGTGATTTACATAATAACCAACAAAATCGTAGAACAGATGATTAATATTGGCTTATTATTTCGGCTTCACTCACAAACAACACATTCATCTTTTTTCATAGTTGTCCTTACGTATGATTGTTCATATAGTAAACATTCTTTGATGGTGGTAGCTTTTTGACTTCTCACACCTTTACGTAACTTATCACTAGCAAAATGAAAAGGATTACAAGTTATTTATTTTATAATGTTAGTGACTATTATGGTTGTTATCATAAGTTAACAAGCATGTACATGTTGCAACTTTAAAAGTACATTGACAAATATTTTCATGTCTGTATTTGGTTCACAACACAATAATACTATCAGGAAGTAAATATCAGATGACTATTACATAGCATACTGAAACCTTGCTGTACTGTCAGAATGTTTATTACTTATCAGAGTTCAATTTAATTCCAACTTTTCAAGCAAAAAATTGATTTTGAAATTGTGAATGTTGCGTTTTAACACATTCACTTATATAATCAAGAATTACAATGGAAATTCGGGTAATAAGAATACCATGGTACTAGTAATATTACTATGTACTTATGTATATGTATATCTTATGTCTATACTTTACAGTCATCTGAAGTAAGTTTATTTTCGACTTTTGATTGTTGTGTTGCAATTTGATATTTGTTTATTTTACATGTTTCGGTATGTTTCGATGTACGATTGAGTTCATTCGTTCATCTATCTATCTATCTATCCACAAATCTATCTATCTATTCATTGTTTGTATGTGCACATCTGTTGTTTTATCATGGTGAATAGGCATGCATTACACTGATTTCTATCATTACTATCAGGTCATTGTTCGTCAGATATGCAATTTTATTCTGATGTCTCTCACTGTAAATATCTATATTTACTTGTATAAATATACCTATACTTAGATTTTGTTTCATTAAATGTTAACCACAGGCATTATATGAACTGTTTCTGAATTTAATTTATTCACTAAAGAGCTCTAAAAAGTTGGCTAGTATGAATATTCCCATTGGCTAATGAAGTTTACACATTATTTATGAATGTCATTATTATCAGAATTACTAGTAGTAGTAGCATTATCCTGTCCTGTTGAGCTTTACCATAACACATCACGTATTTGGTGTATAAAATGTAACCGCCCCCCCCCATTTCTCCATCTCCTTCTTGTTAATGACTCGCTATGTCATGGTGATGCATGAATCATCATTTTCCTATTCTTGCACAATTTCATTAATATGACCTCATTTCATTCGCGTACATCTCATATTATTGGCATATAATGTCAACAAAATTTCACCTTTTATCATATAGAGGTTATTCAAATTTTTTCCCTTACTAATTTATATGTTAGCGTTGGAAGGATTGATTGGTTATTAGCTTAGCTTATTTGTTTGAGCAGTACTTGTCCATTATTAGTCTGGACGTTTTGTCTAAACCTTCTTTCCATTTTCTTGGACATAAAACACGTCGTTTTTGTCCAGTTTGTTACACTGGATTTCGTTGCATGTCATTGTTTTTTGAAAAGTATTATCACTAAGTTTATTACAGTCAACAGATAAATATTTGGATTATTAACCCGTAAATATTTAAAATCCCTCCATAACTCTTAGTGACCAATAAGATTCATGAGTAAATGTTCGGATTTGTCATTTTCATTATTTAGGCAAACTATTATGGATGGCTTAACTCGTTTCGGCTTTTTGTTGTGTTGTTTCATTATGTCTTTGAAGTTCCTGTCTTCTCCAATTTCAATTAATTTTGTTAAGTGTGTAAAGTGTTTAAAGTCAACGCTGTTTTTTCTTATCAACGAAAACAATAGAATAGTCGAAAAGATAAAACTTGAATATTTTGTTTAAAAAATATTGAATATATTCTTGATTTACTCACTAAATGAACACAGAGTGTATATGATACAACATGCTTTTGTTAGATAACCTCAATAAGAATAAGTAAGTAGATGGGTTTATGTTATAAATTGTGACCGCCGATTAGACAGCAGTGACTTATCGATCGGATCAAAGATGCGTAAACCCGTATGAGCAGCCTAGAGTCCTGATTGACCCTGCTTTCCTGCCTAGCCCAGCCAGTTAAGTCCAGAACACAAGTCTCAGCCTCGGTGATATAAATCATGTATTTCAAACATACTCTGTTTATATATACCAATCAAGCAGACCACATCGTACCATAAAATAGAACATAACATTTGTACAATATTTGGCCAACAGGAAAATGACACGTGAAATAAATATTGACCAATAGGAAAATGATACCATTTCAAGACCAAGGATAGCATTAGACTTACGAGGATAATTTTCGGGATATTTTTCTGAATATCCCAACAGTTTATAAAAAAAACATTTTGTATTCGAATGACAATCATTATTTTTTAACTTTATTTTATGTAATGTAATTGTTAGAAATTATCTTCTAACAAAATTCATGAACATGAACCTGTTATCATAAATTGGCAGTTGCTTTTTGTATAAAATATAATTGAAAAATGAAAATCAGTCGAAAACTAGTTAGAACCGTCGAATCGATTTTTGGGAGATTGCCTAAGTTTATAGGTTATATTTACTACAGATTATCATTGGAAACCAAATAGCACCAAACAGCTGTTTAGTCCTAGAATGGGACTCCATAAACGTGGGCAGCCAAGACGCTGCTAGCAATCAGATCAATGTCTTCTATGTCTCGCGGCGAATGTTTTACCACTAAAACTATTCCTAAAGAGTCTCATACAAGGGTGGAACAGCTGTCAATTCCTACCTAGTTTGAATTGGTAGCCAAACTGAGATCAATCTGTGATGACAATAACTTACTAATTAGACATGTGGTCAATAGTAATCACGAATTTTGAATCCTGTATTTGTTCCCAAGTGTTTAGACTGCATTACACTGAATGATTGACTAATCAATATAATTAGATATGTTTCACGTAAATTCCAACACATAAGTAAATGTTACTTTACAACGGTGTTAATACCTTTAAAAGTGCATAATGGTATATATTTTATGATGATAGGAATTACTATTCGGTGTTGTAATCACCCAAAATTTCATCTGTAAGGTTTTGAGAAGTTCAGGAAAAGCTGAAAATTTCAGACGCTTGAAAAAAAGTAAGCATTAAAAATTCAAATATGAAAGAATTAAGAGGATCTAGTAAAAGACTAAAAAGTCATTAACAATTATTGAAGTAATACACTCATCAGTAACACTGCTTTGTCTATTTTAGTATAGCTCAGTATTGAATAGATGAACTCCATCTTAATAACTGATTTATATAAAATTCTTAATTTAAAATATAACAAAAAAGCATCCTATTAGTGACCTCAACTATTAAATTTAAGTTTCAACTTTTAAACTTAAATATTTATCTGAAGAGGAAGAACAAAAAAGAGACGAAACACTTAACTGATTGACACATGTGTATTCATTATCAAATCTGTACATATTATTCAATATAGCTAATTCTTATTCTTATTATAAATACTATTATTAATTATTATGAAATGGTTTATCTTCACTTTTTTGTTTTGTTACTATCACTTGTATTTAAAATAAAATAAATGACCTCAAGTTGAAAGTTTCTAAGGTTATGATCGATCACTCAATGTTTATCGTCATCATCATCATCATCCGCATATAATACATGAAAGTACTGTATAACGTGTAGAATTAAATTGTATCAATATGGGTTGGTATACAAAACAATGTTTTGTTTTACAAATCCTAATATTGATAAATATTGTATATGTTTAAAGTCAATGATTTAAATGAAGATAATGATGATCTGTATAGTCTAATTAAACAATTAAAGTAAACACATTTAGTAAATATTTGAATGAATAGTAACATGGATTGTTTTTTACGTAATATATATGTGTATGAAAAAACAAAATTTCATAAATTATCACGTCATGGTTTATCACAGACTGAAGATTATGATCTTCCAATTGTTGTATACCTTCTCTGTTAGCCAATGAACAAAAATGTAGACCGCCAAAATCGAGGATTTGTTGCTACAAAACTAATGAGACATAATTATACATTATGTGATGTGTTTTTTTTAAGTAGCTTCCAATTTATACTAAGGCTTATATTTGGTGTTTTTTACTCCATGTTATATAGTTTTCACTAAAAACCCTTATTTGAGAGATCGATTTAATGTTGAGCATTTTATCAAGTCGAAAAACTCTTATAAACGTTATCTCATCGTTTATATCACAGACTAATTTTACTTAAATACCTATCGAATGCAAAGAAATACTAGGGATTTTCTTTGTTATAATATGAGTCTCCTCAGCAGTGCACCTTCGTAACACTGATGGGGATCGGAAACAGAATCTTTGAGTCACCCAACAATTAATTAACTTTCAAGCCAATGATCCGGCATCCATTACATTTTAAACCTTGATCTATTTGTGATAGTTTGCAATCACCTTCCAATGGTTCACACCCGACATATTTAAACTCCAGCAGTCATGGCTTCTTACTTGGATTTCGAGAATTATCTCTAGAAATTATTTACCGATGAGCATAAGGTTACAATATGTGTGAGGGGTTCACAGATTACTCCTCTGGCTAATCATAGTCAACAACTGGAAACTAAGAAGCACTAGACAGCCGTTTCGTTTAATTACGAGATTTCTTAGCGGTACACTAGTCACGATCAGTGTATAATAACAACTGTGAAATTTGATAAATCCTACAGATCCGCATTTAGCATTTTCTTATAGTCCCAACAATCTGTATGTAAAGACTTATTAAGAGATTTGTAAAATGATCGAAGGACCGATAACACATTCCTGATCTTTTCAACCATTTTTACAAGACATGAACATCTAATATTGTGAATATATTAATAATGATAATCTTTCACTTCAGAATTTCTTTTGAACAAAAGAAACTGAATAAATATTCAATAAATTATTATTTTTTGTTGTTGAATAGAATCTACATTGTAACGAATGTGAAATTTCTTTACATCCAGTTTACCCCTTATACTATGTCATTGTCATTATATTATTATAGTTTTATTTAAATTAGTATTATTATTTATTTACTTATTTTAACTCATAGATATTGGTACAAGGAGGCACCAAATACATATGCGCCACACAGATCTCATTTGATATGTGTGAGGGCTGTGATATTGACGGGGTGCCCAAACCGAAGCAGGTGGTTTCCTTAGGGGGCCACACCCGGAGCCTTCGTCATGATGGTCTGATCCACAAGGCAGTGGAGCAACGTAAGGAGATGCAGTCCCATGGTAGCCGGTGACCAACGACTGGTTCATACGCCATTTGTTCCTTCAGGATACTGGAGCTCATGTGCACGATTGGTTTGGAATGAGGGTTTTCCAACTTCCCTAGGTGGACTCTGCATGTCCACAAACCCGGTTAAAGCACTGGACATCCGCTTTTCGTCCTCAATTTCGTAAACAACACCCCCGCAATGAGAAGGCAGTGAGTAGGACTTCCCTGGCAGAGGCTATATACGCGTGGCCATGTGAGAGCATTTCGAAAGGGATAGCGGACTCTCCCCACTCTCGGCCGTACCAGGGCATTTGGGGGCTATTCATATTATATAATTTTGGTACATAATGAGAATTGTCAGCACAAAATATTTCGTGATGGATTCTGACAATAAATATTGTGTGATTACCAGTTAGATGTTAGCAGTTCAGGAATCGACCTCTGAATAATGTATTGTTTTCGATGAATATAACCAGCCATCACTATGTCTCTGATTGTACGTTTTTGTCAATTGTACAGTGAGATGTCGTAAACTGTTCATGAGCGCTCTTGAAATATGTTGTGCAATCAATAGACATAATGATGTGTTAAAACAAACAGAAGAACAGATAGCTTATTGAAATATCTAGTTGGGAGGAACAGACAACCCAGATATTCAACCAAGCCACCAATGATACACTAGATTTATTTTTCCATCTATCAAACTTCAACTATCTTCACTTGACTGTCTAGTTATTTAGATGTCTAGAAAGTTCTACCGTTTGATAAGAGCCATGTTCTAGAATATTTCTTATATTAATATGTACGATAAAAATCGCCTTTTTTGGTTGTTTATTATCCCATTTGTTTCAAGTATAAATTCTCCCAAAATAATCATAATCATAAAATACAGTAAATACATTTAGAATTTTGTTGAATGATTTTGTTCCTTGATTGATCGATGAAGTGTTGTAATTTTCCTAAAAGTTCAATCATTTTGTGTTTCTACGCCTCAAGGTCACGCGGAATAAAATATGATTTAACCACATGACTGAAAAGTGGATTGTGTAATTCTATTGGTTAAATTCCATTCCTGGTTTTGATTTGGAAACAATATACAAAGATAAAGTTTTTTCTTTCGGTAACTAGTTTTATTCACTTTAAGCAAACACAACTGATTATATAATATGTTTTCTTCTTAGTGGAGTTATATGGTTTTAGAAATTCTAGAGTTGAATCAGTGTTTGTAAATAAGCGTGGATTGTAGCTTACTGTACAATTTATATTTGAACATTCTCAGTTGAATATAACTGAAATCCAGGGTTATTGTTCACATTTGGAGGTTGGAACCTAAACATTAAAGCTTTATCTACTACGTCACGGAGTCTAAATGGCGAGCCATAAACATAGATATCTATCCCTCAGATATTTCAGTCAAACGTCTGCCGATAATCTACAACTGTCAAATCTCTCACTAATCATATGGTCTTGATCTGATATGTTTGATTACCACAACCTATCAAGCCTAGTTATAAAATTTTTTGTGATTAGAGAAGAAATTCATGATAATTTATCGATTCCACTAAAAATTTATCAGCTCACTGGACATATATATGCTTAATGGTAATGCCGATTTCGAACTCTCTTATGTCATTGATTAATAGGTATATTGGTTGCTTGTTCAGTGACTATTCATTAATTGATCAGTTAACTCAGCTCTCACATTGTTTTATGTCAGTAATATATTAATGAGTCTATTTCGAATAAATCAATCATTTGTACAAAGGTCTTATCCATTTTTGTTTTGAGTAAATATAAATAGTTACTGGTAGTGCACATCACATTACTATATTTAAGTCTTTTCAGATGGATCTAACTATTCACAAAATCTGTATAACCAGCATCCTATATTAACAAGCATAACAGATCTGTTAGATTCTATGATTAGTAAAATGGAAATTCAAAATTATTCTTTTGTAATTAAGCGTACATTTATGTTCATTTTTAAATAAAGTATTTAGTTTAATTCACCTATATATATATATATATATATATATATATATATATATATATATATATATATATATATATATATATATATATATATATATATATATATACCTCTTTAATAACTAATAGTACTAACCGACGGTCTAAACCAGGTTAGAATCTGCGGTCCTATTAGTTGATTGGTTAATCATTAAGCCACACATTACAGATTTTATTTTCACTCAATTGAAGTTTGATAAAAATTTATACAAATGACCTCCTGTGAATATGGGCTTCAATTTTACAGGAGTGAAGACAGTTAGTACCAGAAGCTTCAAATCAATGTAGCAGAGATGAATGCACTCATTCACAAATCACTATGGTATTAATCCTTAGTACACATTAAGTTTAAGATAAAATCATATGCTTTTCTGTAATAAAATAGGTAAAGATTAAAAAAAATTGACCTTACTGAACAGTTGTTGTGACCTAGATTTGTGGTACATATATGTGTACGAGTGTGAGTGCTTGCAAAACCATGAAAACGTTTCTTTCACAATCACCTATCATTTATTGTACTGATATCGTATATGACATGTTACGAAAGGGATTTCAATGAATTAAATAGAAATAAATAAAGGGGTTTAGTGAATATTTTATTAATTTTAATAGTTTAGATCATGGGTCGATTGAAGCTAACGCACCATGAAAACCCTGGAAGCACTGAACGGCCGTTTCGACCTAGTATATAGCTCCTCAGCAGTGCATCCACACCCCTACCTCGCAAGATTCGGACCCAGAACCTATCGGTCTCGCGCACGAGGAGTTCCATACTAGGACGAAATGACCGTCCAAATGCTCCTAGGGTTTTCATGGTGGTCTAGCTTCAATTGACTCATGAATTCAACTATTAAATGTATAAGTATTAGTATTTTAATGAGACTGAAAATAATTCAGTTATCCTTGTATATTGTTTACTTAGTATTAATAATTGTTCAACTTATTAAGTGTTATATCATGTTTTTGTTTATTTAAATAATCCTTTGTTTACGTAAAAATCATGAAGTCAAGCAACCGAATAACCGTGCTTTTTTAGACGATTACATGACATACAATGAACTTTACATGCTTCATTCATAGATTTGTCTTTGACATCATCATTATCGGTGTCATAATCAATTGAAGCACAGTTAAAATGTTAGATCTGGATTGAGTAGTTATTTTGATGACCTTTATATATACAGATAAATAGACAGATTATTTAAATAGTTTAGTTAGTTAGTAAACTATTATTAAACCATTATTTTATGCTTTCAGTTATATTTGTCTGATTCAGCAATCAAAGGAATGAATGACTAAATTAACAATACTGTGGAACATTGTAAGCCATTTGTAGTCGTTGAGATATCCTGGATCTAGCTTTCGTACAATTTGGCACTCGGAAATAAGGCTTGAAATGATCGATGCTGTCTGTTAAATAGAAAGCTGTATCACTTAGCTTTATAAAATGAGACGTTACCATCTGAGATGTGCCGTTCGATTGGTAACAAATAGTTGGACCAGCGTGATATTGATTGTTCCTCTATGATCATTCGATTAATTATAAATATACGAGTTCTTTAGGAGGTCAGGTGCAGCCTTAAAAGCTCATTGTCTGAGTCTCAGACTGTGAGACTGGGTGACGTTGGTTTAATTTCCACAGGGATCAACCGTTCTCAAGATTTTAGATATACGTTGCTGATGAGTGCCAATGAACACAAAACCTATGTCATGCGGGCTTTACTGCCGACTGACTATCTTCAACTATCTAATATCTCAACATACTACACGTAATGTTGAGTCCCGTAACCACTTTGATTGACAGACGTGACATTAGTTACTACTCAGCAATCAATTAATGTAATAATCATAACTTGAAATAATAACATTAATTGAAGTTGTGTGTTATGGTCCTAGGATTATATAAACATTTCGTAAATTTTCCTAGTCTAGTGATCTGAAATATCGATTTATAATGTCTTAAAGAGGTTACTGCTCTTGTAACTTTCAGACTGAGAACCATTTTACCATGTGATTCTTTAGATAAATTTTTCTATACATTATTCTACTAGAAAACAACTCAACACATTAACCCATGAGCTCATGAGCAGTAATCTACATTCTTAGGTAGGATTGACAATTATTGCTTTTCAAAGCTTAGATTACATACTTCGTAAATGTAATCGTAGTCTTTTCCTGATGACTAACAATTTTCCTCACCCTTTACCACTGACATGTGTAACAGTTTTGACTGATTTATACACGTGCCATATTCTACTTTGCTGATGAGTGAGTAAATAACTGACTGACTTATATGATAGAAGATGAATAGTTATTTTTCCCCTCATCGGCTAATACTCTGTGGATAGTTGGGCTATATTGTAGAAATATTAGAACTCACAAAATGATATACAATACCAATATAGTTATTTTGTAACGACTTTACTGTCATTTTATCCTATGTTTGTTTTCTGTTGCATTTACTTTTGTATTCATTTTTACGTGTCGCTTTTTAGTTGAATACTTTAATCATTATTTTTTTTACCCTGATCAAAACCACCTTCAGTAATACTTTAAAAATTTTCAAAATTTTATTTTATTTATTGCTATCCGCCAAAACCATGTACTGAATCCATGTTAATGCGCGTTTTTATTTTGAAGATTGGTATGCAGCTTGTTTTGTAGGATAACTGGTCAATGTTAACTAATAATCTTTTTTACGATATATATATTCTCCTATCTATATGTATATCGCGTCATGTTCTTATTTCTATACTTTTCACATATACATATACATATTATACTGTAATAATATTGTTGTTGAATGGGTCAAATTCATGTTTTTTTCAGCTTATAGAAGCAACATCTATTATCGATCACTTCATCCACAAAAAAGTTATTGATGGTTTGTAAAATAAAAGCGCAACACACGACGTTTTCAAGTCTTTGAATCAATTGTTTGTTTTCTCACATTTCAGAACAACTTGAGAATCGGTATCGTGAATGTCGGTGCTCCAGCTTGCGGTATTAATGCAGTAATAAGAGGATTTACTCGTCTGGGTATCACCAAAGGTTATAAGATTATCGGAATACACGAAGGATTCTCCGGTCTTGTTAAAGGAGATGCTAGTGAAATACAGTGGTCTGATGTACGTGGATGGGTGGGAATAGGTGGTTCCATGTTAGGAACACGCAGGTATGTGATCTGTGCTGTGCAGTCATTTGAAACTAGACTTTTGTCGAAGAATGTAAACTACTGATAATTTATAAGTAGCCGCAAATGGTATCCTCATTTTTGTGATCGGACCGACCTTGTCTTTATCAGTCGCCAGTCAAATGTAGCATATTTTACCTCTCTCATTGAATTCTGTACATACTAAATGGAGTATTATAGCTATAACAACAAGTTTTGGACTTGATATTTTGCCAGTAATATCTAATAAATGGCAGTTCCTAATTGCACAGCACCATTTGAAATGATGAGTAATAACTTTCATGTATTTAAGTAATTTATATCACCTTATCATCCAACACCTAAATATTTCAACTGTAAAACGTTTAAAAATATTGAAGCCTAAACTAAAAATATTGCAATCTTTTTAACACAGGGAGATTTCTCATTTTTTTACCTACTGAACTTTATGAATACTGATCATCCATTAGGATAACGCGGTTAAAACATCGTAGACCAGCATTATTGTTGTCGGCGAATCAGTTAAAATTTCACTTTCAAGATTAATACTTACTCTTTCATCGTTAGTATTGTTTTACAGACTGCTAGTACACTTGTATTTTGATTATTAGGGAAGAATTGTTAGAAATATTCGATTCATAATGATAAAGTTTGAGTTATTTTTTAAAATTGTGTTGTAAATACACCCTTCATCAAAGTACGTCAGTTTCGTGCGGGAAAAAATTTAACATTTGAACCAACCTTGCTTTCAGAACTGTTAGAAGTCAAATAGATTAAAATCCAATCAATGTATGGCTTAAATTATAAAGTTAATTTACCCTTCCGTAACTGTATTCTTGTCTTGTATTTCATGGTTTTCTTTGTACATGCTAATTAAGTTTGCTTTCATTTTTATATTTCATTTATTTCAATTACCTAGAGACACACCAAATAGTTTAGGTATAGAGAAAGTAGCCGCGAGATTTAAAGAATTCAAATTAAGCGGTTTACTTATTATTGGTGGCTTTGAAGCATATGATTGTTTGATAGAACTGGTCGAAGGACGTGAAAAATATCCTGAATTATGTATACCTATGGCTATGGTACCAGCGACAATTTCTAATAATGTTCCTGGTACTGATTTCTCCTTGGGTTGTGATACAGCTTTAAATGAAATAACCTCTGTAAGTTATGTGTATATTTCCAAGTTTTATATTTTGTTTCTGATTGGCATTTTAATATCGCTATTAGCTTGAAGAAATCGAGAGAGAATTAGAAAACTAGAGAGTAGTAGTTCCATCCTAGTTTACAGCACCTTAGCGATGTCATAGGAGCGGGCCCAATTCTTTTTGTTTCCACCGTAAGTATGATACATTTAGATCACAGTACTGTGTTTGAGTTCCAGAGTGAACATCAACTCTGAGATCTAGGCACATCCAGTTGACGAGTCCCAAATAGGACGAAACTCGTGTTCTGGATTTCACTACCAGCCACTATCCATCTTTGCTTACAATGCTTGTGAATTAATGCAATCCGCACAATATTCACATATGCTAATAAGAGACTGATCAACTGCAGTCCTAAACATCAATGGGAAGATTCAAGTAAACAATACCAAGTGAATTTAACGTATAACAGTTTATTTATTTTTAATTTAACGACTTAAGTTCTACAAACGTAAAATGTTTTGTAAATTTTCCATATTTTACTTTCGTTTGAGATATAAAGAGAAAAAAGGGATGTTAGATTTATACATTAAATAATGGAAATAAACTTACTATAGAATTAAGCTGAACTAATCACTAATCTATGGTAAAAGATCTTTCCAGATGAAATAATATTGATTTTTAAATATTGAAAATATTACAAAACTCATTCATTCATTAAAATATTCATTTAATTATATTGTATAATGAAAATGGTTAAATGATAAATGGAATCATCCTTTCAATGGACTATGAAGTGTGGGTTGACCATATTGTGGACGCTTTTGTTCATATTTTGTTGAGGGGATTCTAAGTCTTATAACAATATAAAGTAATATGTAAATAATATTTTTAGTTTTACACCACAGATTGAATTTTGTTCGACAGCCATTGGAAGTCAAGACGCACTGAACAGCTGTTTTATCTTAGTATTGGGTTTTCTTAATAACACATCTGTAATCTCGCCATAGAGTTTGGACTCAAGGGCTCTCAGTGGATGTCCACTCTTCAAACCCCTTAGTTAGTATCTAGTGGTTTACATTTCTAAGTCGAACCAATTCGCGATGTGTTTTTTTTGGGGGGGAAGGGAAGGTAGAATGTTGGTCACATTCTCATTTATGACTCTACTAGTGATATAATCTAGAATCTCTGTCTCTCTCAGATAACACTTGGTCATTGTAATCTGTAGGTCAATATCTACTAGTGCAATTCTGACTTCAATCACCTTGCAATATATAGCATGACGACCACTTTACTCCCAATATCCTTGAAGTCTAACAATTACAACTTCACCCTAGAAATCCAGGAACATCTTGACATAACTCACAAATGAGCTGACTATTTCAGTTTAGTTGAATGAGTTTTATGAAAATTGGTTCAGTTTATAGATTATATTGGTATCAGTGTACGTTATGAGACCTGGAGATCCTGAGTCTGACCTGCTCTGGAGTTGTGAGTACGTTCTGCTAAGAGGCCCTATACTAGGACGAAACAACTATCCTATTCCTCCTAGTTATTATTGGCACTTCAACTGAGATTAATCTGTGACAAATATAACTTTAAGAAATCTGCTAGTTAAGTAATCATTATCAATAACTATTGGTTACTCTCTTCATTCTCTCTTCTTCCTGTTATCATTGTTAATCTCTGTTTAAACATTAATGTTTCAAGGTTTTAGATAAAATTAAACAAAGTGCATTGGGTACAAAACGTCGAGTATTTGTTGTTGAAACAATGGGTGGTTATTGTGGTTATTTAGCTACAATGAGTGCATTAGCTGGTGGAGCAGATGCTGCTTATATATTTGAAGAACCCTTTACAATTGATGATTTACGTGAAGATGTAGTACATCTACGTGCAAAAATAGATGATAATGTTAAACGTGGTTTAATACTACGAGCTGAATATGCTAATAAATATTATACAAGTGAATTTATTCACCATTTATATGCTCAAGAAGGTCAAGGTATATTTGATTGCCGGTAAGTGATTCATTATTATTATCATTATTGAAATCGAAGTCGATATAATTTTCATAATGGTCATCATGAAATGGTCTTAGTCAAACAATCATTGAAAACTAGGAAGCATTGTACAACTGTTTCATCCCAGTATGTTGCTTTCCACCTAGAAATGAGTCTAAGAGCTTTAGGTTTTGTGGTAATAGCTTAATCTTCAAATCAGTGAATCAATGTGAAATAGTTTACATTCCTAGCCTTAATCAATTCATTGGTTGTCTACCTTAAATCAGTTCATGATATAAACAATCTACACAATACCCTATCGATTAACTTTGCCTATTCGATAGGAATTATTCATCGATTAGATGTTATACATCTGTGTTACAATTCTTGCATAACGTGTATTTCATCCTCAGTTACGTAAACACAGAGGAATAATTTGTGTATCTATTGTTAAGTAATCAATCAACTGACTTAATCTGAAGTCAAACTAAGTATAGATTACTCACGATAACTGAACTGCTATCGGAAGACGGAAAAATTGACTGGTAGAGATATTTCTTTCTCTTGAAATAACAATGAAGAAGGAAAATGTCCTACAAGTAATAATTGTTTACCGTTTTATTGATAATTTGCCGCGTAACCAAGTCAACGATAATTTAAACTGCATAACAACTGCTCCTAATTTAACTGTTCCCTGATTGGTTAGTCTCTAGTTTAATATATCATTTTGTCGTTGCTACCTAAATAGATTAGTTTTAACAATTTAATTTCTCTTGAGAATAGTAAAAATTCATTTGTCTAGATCCATTTTCTGTTCTCTCACATTGGGAAGTTAAGGCAATTAGTTGTCAAGGTCTTATCGGTTGAGAGAAAAAAATTATTAGGAAATAATGAAAGGAAATTTTTATTTCAGCTTATATTAACGATACTTTAAATAAATGTGATGATTTTATTAATATAGATATATTTGTAGAAATTGCACAAGTTTCGTAGCTATATTCACGAATTGATATTAGCTTGACCACCATGGAAAATCTAGAAGTAATGAACGGCCGTTTTGTCCCAGTATGAGACTCAGCAGTGAGCATACACCACCCTCAACCTGGCAGTCGAACATAAAAGCCTCAACCTTGCGTGGGAACGCTTGAAGTCTAGACTATTGAGTCAACATCTAACGGCGTGAGTATCCAACCTCAGTTAATCCACGATATTTCCCCAAGAATAATAACCGTTTGATAAAGTAACTAATGTTAAATCTGCTAATTATTTCTATTTATTACTTCATATTTTCTAGCTGTATAGCGCTATACTACTCTTAGTTACTATTAAGTAGTTGACTATTTTGAAAGTTTATTTCAAATGTATTCAAGTAAATATAACCAAAACTTTCACTTCATTTATATTTTTAAAACTTTTCATATATCCAGTTGTAATGTACTGGGTCATATGCAACAAGGTGATAGACCGAGTCCATTTGATAGAAGTTTAGGTACAAAATTTGCTTCGAAAGCAATTGACTGGTTAGATGAACAAATCAATGCTAATATACGTTCAGATTGTAAGTTACATATTGTTTGTTTACCTTTTTACATTCACATGATTACACATGTAATTTTAATACCTCCTGCCATTCACATTTTATATTTTTCATGCGGTTGAATTTATAGGCTATCCAGTTGCTCAATTTCGAAATCGATTTTTTTTTTATCAACCTTCTGTTTACAAATTAATTATGTGTTAAACTATTGTCCCAGAGTGAATATTAACTCTGGGATACAGGTAAATCCAACTGAGAAGCCCAAAATAGGACGAAGTGCCCATTCTGGTATTCACTGCTACCCACCATTCATCTCTGTTTATAATGATTGTGACTTAATGTCAATATTAAGGTTTTCTTGACAGGATGGACAATTGACTCAAAGAGACTGATCAGTTAGAGTCCTCAAGATTAATGGCAAGATCTAAACAACTAATACAAGTATGTTTCATTTAGATTATGAATCGACTAATGTTAGACCACCATTGAAAACCTATATAGCCTAATAATTTGAAAAATGTAGAATTTGGGATTTGTTCGAATGCAATTGTGAATAAGAGTCATTGGTATTAACAGAACAAGCAAAAGGTTGTATATATATGGAGATCATATGCAAAAAATTATTCACCAAAAATATACAACTTCACTCTATGGTTGTGAGTAATCTTAATTTTTGACTATTTCGCCTGAACAAGCTTGAATCAGACTGTTGAATGAAACTTTCAAGTTGCTCTTATTTTCAGTCGCTGAGATTTCTGTAAATATATGATTTTATCTTCTACATTTGGCTATACGTCTTATTTGTATTGATATCTAAAAAAATTAATTGATTTTCATTGGGTAAGGATAAACTCCACTCTCGTTTGCAACTTTGACCTTGTACCTGTCAACCAACCAAAATGAAGTGGGAATTATTTTTTAAACCATCGTAACCCATTATGAAGGACGTGTTTCGCTTTCTGTCTTTTTCGCTGGCTTACATGAAAAAATGTAAAGTTTTCTACGATGAAAATATCACTCCACCATGTTACGAACGTGTCAAGTGTAGGCTAGTCAGTCATGATCGAGGAAAACTTATAACATAGCTAAAGAAATACCTCCAATTAATTCTATGATAGACATTATTGCAAAATATCTACAACTAAGTGACTAAATAAAAGAAAGCACAACCTTAATCACTGATGACGTTACACTCAGATATGACTTGACAACGTGGAGTCTATTCCCAGCCTTTTCATTTGCCTTAAATATTAACCTTGAGATTTAACAAGACATTATTGTTATTATAAATGATTCGCCGTGGCTAATAGGGCTGAACATTTGAATTAGAGTTTAGTCAGGTTAGTTCCACAGAATTTCTTTAAAGTTGATTTAAACGATAAATGTTAACAAGCTTGAAAAATAGCTAATCAAACTTGACGTGATTTCACAAACAATTATTTTATTTATCGTGACTTTTATGTCCTATGGACTTGTTAATTTATCACGTGACTAAATCACCACTAGAACACCGATTCTCGTAACCTTCGCATTGTGCCAAACCAATGACGCATAGACCAACACGAGCAGCCTAGAGTCAACCCTGAAGTTTTATTGGTCCTCTGAGATAGTAACTTCTCGCCTAACCCAGACGACTCATTCCAGAACACAATATCAGCTTCCACCGAATGAATCATGTGTTGTAAACACACGTAGTTTACATACAAGCAAACCAGACCGCATCATACCACAAAATAGAAAATAATTATACAAGATCAGGCCAAAAATGTCTGTGAGTGTGGAAGACTGTAACTAATAAATTGAGAATAGATTAAGAATAGTAAACCGTATAATAGTAGTTTATAAGCTAAATGGAAGCTTACAATAAAACAGAATGTGAATTTGCATATAATATAGCTACTTAATAATAGTTATATAATAAGAATATACATAATAACAATCCATAAATGGTTCCCGGAAGTTACCTATAATTTAAATTACCTCAGACACGAGAGTGACTGAGTTATTTCAAATATATTTAGGTAATATTCACTTTCAGTTGTTGAGATAAACTAGGTACAACTTTGATAGTTCTATACCACAACAACTAACTAGTATCACTAGCCCCCATACTTGTAATGTTTCTTAGAGCTAGGTACACGAATCCGTACTTGATAATAAATCTGTAAAATAAAATAATAATCAAGTCAGGTGCAGGCCAATAATGTTCAGACCCAAAATATAACGATACCATCTCATAATATCATTGTTTCATGGTTTACACTACTGACTTACCTCAGTTAGACAACCAGGAAGTATTCGACAGCTATTTTGCCACCACTCTGAGGATCTAACCTAGGATCTCCAATGTCGCGGCTAACCTCAAGACTGTTAAGCTGATAGTTAATACTGTGCACTCTTGATTATGTGACGTCATCTCCTATTACCTGCTGAGGATAACTGTCTCACATCCGAGATAGTTGATTTTTTTATTGTGGTTACTTAAGCAATACGATTATGTATGTGTCACCGAAATGCCAGAAACCGATTGTTGAAAATATCTTATATTTAATATTAACTTTTTATTAGAACCCCGTAATATATGCAATTATCTTGACTTATATTTTTGCTTATTTTTTTTATTTTTAATTACAGCTACAGTCTATACACCAGGACATTTATGCTGTACACTTATTGGTATTGTACGTCGTCAGACAACCTATTCAAACATTATGGAATTGAGAGAACATACAGATTTCGTGTAAATTTTTTCAAAAAAAAATTTTATTTTAAAAGATTTAATCATACTAAGATGATAATGATAATGAAGTAGTTCAATTTAAGGTACAGGAAAACATATATGTTAAAGAAAAAGTTAATTTAATAGTTGAATTCATGAATCATTTAAAGCTAGACCATCATGAAAAACTTGTAAGCAATACGCGGCTGTTTCGTCCTAGTATGTGACTCCTCAATAGGACAAAATGGCCGTTTAGTGCTACCAGGTTTTCCATGATGGTCTAACCTTAATTGACTCATCAATTCAACTATTAAAGTACTAAAATCTCCACAAAATCCCCCTTCTAATTAAGAGAAAGGTGTTTATTTCCTTTTAAATAACCTCATGATCATTATGATGTAACATAAATTAAAAGCGGTTAATGTTTTATAATTAATTGTAATACTAAATAAATAATATTCAGTAAGTGAAGAGTTTAAAGAGAATCATCCTTATAGATATATTTCATTAAACATACAAACCTCAAAAAAATTTATCTCTCTTTTTATTATATAATCAAATCATCATAAACTACTGATCGATATCATCTGTGTGGAATCACTGAAAGCACTAGGAATTATTAAACACAACCTCTTATTTTGTTTTAAGACCTCTGGATTTTGACTCAGAGATATGCTTAATGGTGATGAGTTATGAATTCACTCTGCTGTTAACAGTGCAATAAACGCCAGCGAAACAGACTGTTCAAGCTTCTGAACAGTTATCCTGTACACTCATATTTAATCCACATTATTATCTCTGAACGTTCTTCCTATATTCTTGTGTATGTACGTATGTCTATTTTTATCTGTGATCTAATTGGTTCTGTATTGACTCTCTGTATTCTATACGCAGTCTACTTTTATATAGACAATGAATCTTCTTAAGTAGAATGAGTTATTTAGTTTACCGACTTTACGCTACATCAACCCGTTCTTCGCTTACATGATTGTTTGTTTATAATTGAATGCATGAATTGAATGTATTCTCACTTACATTCCTTATTTCAGTAACGTGATGTCTCATTGGTACATTAGGAAATTAAGTATTAAATACATGAACGATATATTAAAGTAAGACATAGGGATTGTAGAAAGTATTTTTCTACAAACGCAATTCTAAACTATTTCCCCGACTGTTGAGCACAGTCTTAGCTTAGCCAAACTCAGGACAAGTAAGCTATTTGGCTTGATAAACTTTATCTCTTCCTAAGACGTAAACTAATACTGTTCTTATGCAGAAAACAATCTATTCAACGCATTAAACAGTAAAAAACAGACACTAAAAACATACTGAACAGTAACCAGAGGATAGGAAAAATGAGACAAAAAATCTAATATCAGTATAGGGATTTATGGAGATTATAGTATTTTCATACTTCGTTTCACAAGTTAATCTAAGCTAGACCACCATTGAAAACCTGAAAGCACTGAACGGCCGTTTCGCCCTAGTATGTGACTCTTCAGCAATACACATCCATGATTCAATGCTCCCAAGTTTTCAGTGGTAGTCTAGCATAGATTGACTCGTGAAATCAACTGTAAAAAATCTAATATCGTTTATGATAAACGGGAAAATTATGATTGCTGAATAAACAAGGCATAGCCATCCAAGGTCAAAGAGAGTTAATGTGATGATAGGCATTTAATATTGTCATTACTGAGTTCGTTTATCGATCATACTTGTATGTCATTATTTCTAGTGACTCTCTTTTCAACTAATATTAATAAATCGCTCATGAAATTCTCCATTTCTATTTTTTACTTTATAGACATCGTTTACCAAAAGAAGAATGGTGGATTAGTTTACGTCCATTAATGCGTATTATGGCTAAACATGATAGTCTTTATGAATCAGAAAGTATTATGGCTGGAACTGATAGAAAATAAACAATCAATATTTTATTTTTAATTTTTAAAAGAATAATCATAAGAGAAAAGAAAAAAATGGTGAAACAAATGATACTTTTTTTTTCTTTTGTTTATTTCAACTCAACTCATTCAATATTAGTTTTGGCTTACCTTCATTGAATCAGATCTTATTATTGACAATTTCTGTCAGTTTGTTTGTTCTCACTGATTGACTCGTTTAACTTACTATCAATAATTCAACCAACCTTGTCCATCTTATTCTGCTTTACCTGAGATCAATCACACATGTATTGAAACCCACAGGTTTAGTTAGATTAAACACTAATATTATTATTATTATTATAAGTCATTTTAACCTTTCCAATGCCAAGATGATTACCAACATCACCTTTATTACTGAAATCTAGTTGTAGAAAATGACAAAGTGACATTTACTTTTCTTTTTCAAGACAAAGAAAAACAACAACAGCAACAAAGAAAACAATAAAGAAATGAAAATCATTATCAGTGTGTTTCTTTCATTCAGTTTTTCTTTTTCTCTTACCTTTTAGTGAGTCCATGTAGTAGTAGTATTATAATAGTGCAATATTTAAACGTTAACGAGTTATTTTTCTCTCTTTTTTTTCTTGTACAATAGAGAAAATGTATAATGAAAACGTTGATTTTGTTTCAAATTTTCATGTAATAAATCATTTAACCATTTCTGTTTAATATTTTCCCATTAGATGGCGGTTGGAGGTAGTCGACAGGAAACCCTGGATCCGGGTTTCGTGCTACTTGGCACTCGTCAGCAAAGTGTACCTGTGATCTTAAGGGAATTGGTGCTTCCTGGCGGATTCGATCCCATATATTGTTTGACATTTAAAAAACAGCGCTTCCCTTGAAGCCCTCTCTCTTCCCTAAATTATCCAGTTTGAAATGTTTTAGTTCTGTCAGAGGATAGTGGGAATTAATTTGACACATAGTGATAGATTATCATATATAAGTAAAAAAAACAAAACAAATTTTGTAACTAACGGATCATTAAGTAGTGATCAATGTTATAATAATAATTTATATATTCTGAAAATATTAATTACAGAATTCACACCAGTTTACAGGCATGATCAATTTGATATAAATAGTAACATTAGATGTACAGAACAAACATGTGATAGAAGGAAGTTTTAAGTATACTAGTTCAGTAATTGTTTAGGTAGTACATGTATTACAGCGATCCAATGCATCAGCCTGGAACCTTTAATTTTTCTTGATTGGACAGCCTGTTGATTTATGGACGGAGTAATTAAGGCCATTTCGTGTACCCAATCGAATTAATGATAATTATCTACAACCAGAGAAATTAAAACGAAAACAGAGAGCATGGAACAACAAAGCAGTAATTACCAAAATGTATCAATCAGGTCTACCAAAATGCGTATGTCATGTGACCCGGTGATATACTGTTGATGTTATTCAAATTAGTTAAACTTGCTAGGGATGGGGTTACCATAAAGTAACAGCAATTAAGTGGTTTTACTTAGGGAATGCACTAATAAAAATGGCTAAACATTTAAAGTTCCTATAATACTACTTGTGGAATGAGATACACTTAAAGCCGCTAGAGCATTCAATGCATTTTCAGAGAAGCAGTATGCATCGATGCAGCGAACAAATAATGGGAGTGATTTTATCGTACGGATAGATTGTGGTAGGTTATTCCAGAGGCTAGAAAATTTATAGGTGAAGTAGTTCATATGAAAGGATGATTTAGAAGTTTGTTTCACTAGTGCCAAGGAATTACGGATGTCATAATGAGAAATCTCTTCATATTGAATCACGTGATTGGATGTAAACGATAGTTTATGAAGTAGTTTGAAGAAAAAGATAAGATTTAGTTTGAGTCTACTCTTCCATAAAGTGTCTAGCCCAAGTTTATTACATCTAGAATTATAAGTTAAGGTACAATCAGCTCCAAGAATACGAAGTGTAAATCGTCTCTGTACTGATTCCAGCCTTAATTTATCCTTTATGCGCGCACTGCTAGGAATAAACGTGCAATATTCTAGAAGAGGTCGAGCACAAACTTTGTACATTAAAATACGTGACTCATTGTTGTAAAAGTTTCGACTTATGTAACCTATTAGACGTTGAGACTTAGAGGTTTGTTTTAATATCTGTTCTGTAAACGACAAGTTTTGGGAGTATCAAATTCCTAAGTCTACTACTGTATGTAACCTAGACAACACTTCAGCATTCATGGTAAGATCTAAGTTAAGTGATGTATCGCCGAAGCATGTCCATTCACATTTAGCCGTATTAAGACCCAGTTGCCATTTTAAACACCACTGTGTTACTTTGTTAAGCTCCATGCTGACGCAGTTTCGAATATTTTTCAGCTCATGTGGAGAAAATGAATATACTACCTTAAGGTCATCTACATATAGAAGGGGCTTACCCACACAAAAACTTTCACAAATATCATTGATAAACACTTAAAAGAGCAAAGGGCCTAAGACACTACCTTGTATTACACCACTTTTAACAGGGACAACGTTAGACAATGTAGAGTTAATTTTAAATATTTGATGTCGATTGCCGAGAAAGAGTCCAAACCAAGCTAGCAAAGGATTAGCCTATTTCTTTAATGATGATCGAATACTGTTGTTGTGAATAAAGACTTAGGTAGGAACAAACAATTTATTATTTAATTCACTTGATATTGTTTTACTTGAATCTTCCCATTGATGTTTTCGGACTGAAATTGATCAGTCTCTTATTGGCATATGTGCATACTGTGCGTATGCCTCGATATTGCCTTAATTTACAAGCATTATAAGCAAAGATGGATAGTGGCTAGCAGTGAAATCCAGGACGCGCGTTTCGTCCTGTTTGGGACTCGTCAGCTGGATGTACCTGCATCCCAAAGTTGATGTTCACTCTGGGACTCGAGGCATACGCACAGTATGCACATATGTCAATAAGAGACTGATCAATTTCAGTCCAAAAACATCAATGGGAAGATTCAAGTAAAACAATATCAAGTGAATTAAACTTCAACCCATTGCACAAGCAAGTGGCTATCAGGACTCAGTAGCTAAGTGGATAACGCGATGGCGTTTGAAGCGAACGGTACTGAGTCCGAGTCCCAGAGTGAACATCAACTCTGAGATGCAGGTACATCCAGCTGACGAGTCCCAAACAGGACGAAACGCGCGTCCTGGATTCCACTGCTAGCCACTATCCATCTTTGCTTATAATTTATTATTTAGTTTAACATTACAGAATATCTTCGTAAAATATGAGAACTATACATTCAATACTTTATTTGCAAATCTTCCATCAATTATCCTTCACATTTTGTGTGATTCTTTCAATCCATAATTCATTTCTAGTTCCCGTTTTTTGAACTCGACCTACTTAGACTTCTACTACAAAGGCATTCTAGTTCTGATTGATATTATATACTACTTATGCCGAAAGACATAAGTAGTCTAAGAGGAAATTCTGTCTGATTTATGTTTCAACAAGGCGTACCTCTGATTTTGAGGGAACTAACTCCCTCTTGTAGGATTCAAACCTAGGTTCATAATTTCCTCCCAATTGTTTTCAACCACGTAACATAATGATATATGCATATCATAAATGAAATCAACATTTGAACATCACAAAGATTAACTATCTGTAATCGTCAGTGTTTGAATATCAAAGTATGGGATATTACTAGATGGTTAATAATGTGTTTTAAAATATTCAAATCTTTTGGGATTTGAATGAACGAATACAATGCATAATAATAACTCAGAGTTTTTCTTATATTTAAGCGAGGCATGATTTTAAGCTTGATAACGAGTCAATTAGAAGTTGTTACCAATGTTTAAACATAATGCAAAGCATATTAGAATGTAGAGACGTTGAAGTTCCTCCTATTATCGTCATTCAGGAGTTAAGGTAGTATATGTAATTTTAATCGTATAATGTGCATCCATTATTCCACCAGGTGTCTAAACCAAGACATTCAGGTCATGTGGCGAGCATTTAACTCATAAAATTACTAGGGAGATATCTGGTAGTGTAATTCCAACGTCAATCACTGTTTAATATATATGGTAGCAAAGAATCAATCTCATTGATGAATACTACTTTACTCATGACACGTCCGAATTATAATTTCTTCTGTTTACTCTCATCTTTATACATTCGCGCCTCCACCTGTTTTTTTCTTCCTTAAATGATTTATTAATCGTCAGCACAGACGCTTATAAAGATTATTAAATATTCCTGACATCATTAACCAGCCAAAGTTTTATATCCATTGCAAAACCAGAAAACCATCACCAGTGGAGTTCAAATATGTAAGATGTTAACCAGTTATCCCCCGGAAGATAATGGAAGTTGGTTGCGAAACTATCCCGGATAGGTTGAAGTTAGACATGTACATCAGTTGTATAGAGTTAGAAGGTGATTCATGAGACCGAAAAATCTAGGTTTGATTCCTAGTGTGGTTGCGTATGTACATTCCGTGCTTCCTAATTTCTATCTGCTGTTCAACTTCGGTTCATTTACATTGAGTAAAATCAAAAGATTAAAACTCTTGTTCAGCTGATCTCATAAAAATGAACAAATGTTCAAATGAACGTGTGTAAAAACATGGAAACACATACATAGGTATTTTTATATTCATTATTCGAGAATACAATAAACTGATGAAGATGCACCTCAATGAAACAATAATAATCATAATATGAGGATGTATACATTAGTTTTACTTAACTAACTGATCACTTTGTCCTTGTAGAAAAGCAAGAAAATAAACTAACATAAACACAAGCACTCACAACATTCACATAAAACAAGACAGGGGGTTATTTTAAGGTAGAAATAAAAACCGAAGAACATATATTTGATTTTTCGGAGAAAAAAGGTAATTAAATAACAGAAAGAACAGACAATACAATCGAAAAATAACAATATAATCAGTAATTCATTGTTCAATAATAAACACTATCAGTATTATGACTGTCACATGTTACTAAGATTAATATTCAATGATGATGACGGTGGCGACAATAATAATGGTGAGGAGGAGGCGTAAAACGATCATAGATAAAGTAAACAGCACTTTAGAATTTAGTAGAGAAAGCCTATCGAAATAATAATAATATTGAGGATAAGGTCGGCGAATATGATAATGGCGGTGATAATAATCAATAGTGAACATTAATAGTAAATCTCATTTATATTTAAGCATATAGATCAGACTCTATCAATGAATTGAGAAAAAAAAATACTGGAAAAATTCTCAGTACTCAATTCTAACTATTACTATTATTATTATTATTACTGTTAAGGATAATACAGCAGTAGTGCTGTAATAGTACTAATAGTATTCAATTATAACAGCTAACCAATAAACATGTCATTATATAACCATTATTATTCAAGCATTATTTATTTGTATATTGCTAACAAACAATTGAAAATAACATAAAGATTGTTGTATGATAGAACAAGAAAAGTAAAGAGAATAACGAATTAAAGTATCCTGTAGCACTGAAGGAAAAACAACAACAACAACACACCCATATATCGAAAGATCAGATTAACATTCAATAGAAAATTCTCTACATTCAAACATAAAATCATCGTTTCGGATGAAAACAAACGAAAATTCTCGTGTTACATCAAAAGAAAACAAACAAACAAAATAGTAATAGGGAAACTTTGTATGTTTATTGAATTGTAATGATTCTTCTCAGTGTGTGTGTGTGTGTATGTTTTCTCGTTACTGTATATTCCTTGAAAGGTTTCCACATCTTGAATTATCTCTTCAAATAACAATAACAATAACCATAATTCAAATAGGAGTAAAGAGTGTAACCATTTTATCAATTAAAATAGAAACAAAAAAAATAATACATAGAAATTAAAATTACATAATTATTTATTATTATGACTTGCATAAAATATTGTATTGCATTGCGAGATGTAGTCAGAAAAAGAAATCAAGCAATATATAGAATATGGTAAGTCGAACATTGAAGGAGTACAACGAAAGAGGAACGGATGATGGTGTGTGTGTGTGTGTGTGCAAGTGTACAACACATGTGAAACGAACATCGATGCTGTGTTGTTTTTTTTTTTAATGACTAGATAAGGCATAGCGAAGTTTGTGCATATGAGAGAATGTGGAAAACAAAAAGAAAGATAGACAACAATAATGCAATGAATAGCTTTTCTCCCCAATGCCCTCTCATCATAAACTCACATTCTTATTGTTCTTATATAAAGAAGAAAACAATTAAAGTGATAACGAATATAAAACAAAATCTACACAAAAAAAGCATGACAAATAACAACTACATGAAACCGGATTTTCTCTTCGAGATGTTTCGTTTAATTTGTTGTTACTATTGTTCTGTATTTCTTTTTTCTAAGGAATTTTTTCTATTCACCAGCATTGCCACCATCTTCATTATGTGGAATAGATGCAAGACCATGATGTGCATTTGATGAAGCAACGATTGAAGGTTGTTGTTGATGTTCATTAGAATTATCTTGTCGTTGTCTTGATGATTCCATAACATCCAATTCATTATCACCAATAACATCTTGTTCATTATATGCTTCAAGATTTTGCATTATACTACTATTATTATTATCTATCGGTTGATCTGATGTATAGCCAACATGATGAGCATGTCTTATATCTACATCTGGTGTTTCATTATTCGTCACTTGAATAGAAAGTAAATGATAAAGAGACATAACATATAGACAGCTAGATATAAATTCACTCATATTGAGTGTTTGAATTTTCCGTTAATGTAATGGATTGCAATTGATCTAGGCTTTTTCTAACATATGAGTATCTTCAATGGATTCCCTTGATCCTTCCATCAGTCATAAGCATTTTTTAACCTAAGTTGGATAGTAGTTATCAGTGGAATGTAAAATACGCCTGGACTTATCAATTGCAGTCCATGACATCAACAGGAAGATTCAGGCAACCATTAAAACTTAAATCAAAATTCACCCTATTGCATAAGCTAGCGGCTATATAGTCTCAGTAGCTAAGTGAATAATGCGTCGTGTGTTTGAACTGAAAGTTACAGGGTCCGAGTTCCGATGTGACCATCAACACTGGTGCGAGCAAATCCAACTGACAAGTCCCAAATAGGATAAGACGCACGTCCTGGATTCCACTGTTAGCAGCCCTCTAGCTCTGTCTAAATGATAGATATGAATTTTTTATTTTCGCATTTAATACAGATACATCCTTACACAACGTGGGACCAAAATGATGTCAGAAAAGAAGAGAGGTAACATTTTCTAGAAATGAAGGAAGGAAAGTGACGATTAAGTCCTCTCCAAATGCCATGGTACGGGTGAGGACGTGACAAGTCCACTAACTACCTCTCTCACTCTAAATCCCCTCATAGAACAATACCTTTATAGAAAGAGAAGTCTTACTGACTCCAAACAGAGGTGTACTTTACAAAACTTTAAGGATTCAAAGATTAGCTTGAATACTAGTAGTATCTAGTTCAATAATCAATTTATACGTTCTCATCAAACCAAATACAACTAGAAATGAGATGTAAAGCATAATTTGAGTACAACTGTCGTTATCAATGACTGTGGATAATCATTAAAGTAAACCGTAGATTGATTGAAGCTGAAATTGTACCATTCAACATCGACTTTGTGGTCCTAATAGTTAAGTATTTGATAAAAGAATTAGATGTCCTGAGCTCGATGTCTAGCTGGGTTGTGGTTACGCAATTGTGAAGAGCTTCATGATACAATGGGGCAGCTGTCTATTACTCTCTAGTTTTCAGAAGTGATCTAACTGAAATGAAACTGTAATGAAAATAACTTACAAATCAAACCATAACCGTATATTTGACCGATACAAACACCTACCGAATATTTTTGTTCATTTAACTACAAGTATAATACTTTAAGTTGATAACATAATTTCATTATCGACTACTAAATATCAAATCTTCTGCTAAAAGCTTGCAATTTTGTAGAATACAAGAAGTGATTATTTGATGAATAAAGCTGTTCGACTGAACAACTGAGTGAATTTACAAGCTCCAACACTCTAAAACTTTATTTTTTTCATCACAGTTGGATAACGATCAGTTGTGGGATCCAGAAGGTTCGTTTCATCCTATTCGTGTCTCATCAGCCAGATCTACTGCATATATTTCACTTTTTTAGACAGGCAGCCTAATAGCATCACCAACCAACAAATATGTGTATGAACTGTTACCCGAAGAAAGTGAGTTACAAGAACTTATACTTTGTTACCGAAGTACATCATCATTAGGAAAAAAATAATGACAGAATTATCTTGAAATAAAAAGAAATAAAAAGACTTACCTTCATGTGACGACTGAATATCGGTTTCACTCATTTTATCAGTTTCGTTTTGTAAAACAATATCTGATAGATCATCTTCTTGATCCCAACGATGTTCACTAGTAGGTTGCGATCTAGTTGAAGTTGTTATATCATTAGTGTTGGTATTATTGGCACTTGTTAATTGTTTTAAACCAGCATCACCGTTATTATCCTCTGATAAACTAGTAATACTATGTTCTTCTTGATGAATTTGTGTAGGTGATAATAAGTCCGCTTCTAAATATACAACAAATAACAATGAAATTTATAACTGTATACTCTGACAAGCGATGCTTACTAGTGGAGAAAGAGGTTGAAAGTAAGCTAGAGGTGAACAAACTAATATGTGACATCAATCCATAATGTCACTGACTTCCCAGTCGTAGTCTGAATGATAACCATTATCGGCAGCTGGAGACTTTAGTTGACATATCTCAGAATCGTTCACAATGGTGCAGATAGATTCAATTTTTGTTTTCCTCCATATTTTGAATTCCAGTATTTCATCATACATACTACTCTACTGTCTTTTAAAGTCATATTCCTAATGTTTCGTCTTTCTTTTTGTCATCGCCACTACATTATCTCGATCTCTTTTTTATTTTTGTCTTTCTGCTAGTGTAGTATGGCAACTTGGGCAACGCCTATCTGTGTTAGGCTCCATGCGGACAATATCAATCAGTACACAAGTTTGAGAAGAATGTTGTATATTATAGTTACTACTGACTGGTCTTCGTTGAACAGTCACTAAAAACGAGGAAGCAGTGGATAGTTGTTTCGTCAACGAGACCTAGAAGTCTCAGATTTAATCCTTTGTGACGTCGTGCTGGCGCACTGTTGAGGAATTTCATAACAGAACAAGAAAGTTATTCTGAATGTATATGAAATTATTGGTTTTACCACTTCTTAGAGAAAACCAAAACAATATACGGATGTGAAGAATTTCGAATCACATTAAAATCACGAACCGATCAATGTTGGAGCACCACTGAAACCTAGAATCATTGGACGGTCATTTCGTCTTAGTATCAGATTTCTCAGTAGTGTGGACCCACGATCCTGCACGAAAGACCCAAACCGATAACCTTGGATCTCGCGCGAGAACGTTTAACCTGTAGAACACTGGGCCGGCAGCCAATAGTATTAATATCACGTGTTAGGCAGTTACTAGCTGAAGACAATGGAAGATGGTGGCGCAGTATCGTCGATTGACTGAACCTAGACATTAACACTGGTGGATGACAACTCAGCGGTCTAGAGGTTGAATGTTGGTACGTGAGGCTGAATTTTCTGGGTTTAATTCTCACGTGCGGAGTCAGTGATGCAAGAAGAAACAGTCGTTCAGTGCTTCCAAGTTTCAGTGGTGATCTAACTTAGATCGGTTCATGATTTCAAGACCAAAACAGTTTAAAAAGGTAGAGTTCAGTTCAAGGAGTTAATCACTAAAGCATAAGTCTTGAAACTTTGCACCATATAGGTATCAATTGCTCTTTATAACGTTCCGTATGTTCCTAATGAAATGAAACTTATAAAGAATGTTGAATTATTGTATGACATGATAGCATCTAATATTGGGTTTTGGAAGATATTTACAACACATATAAATAGACAATATTTAGACAATATAGCTGCTTATTATTCATAAATGACTTTCGATCGAACAGTGAGAGGCTATGATCAGTGGAGTTTAACCATGTCATGTATGAGACAGCTACCACCTGACAGAATTGATGGGGGGTCGCACAATTTTGGAAACTGACTGGGATTAGAAACGTCATTCATTGGATGCTGACTCAGTAGACCAGATGTTAAGTGCTCTCCATGAGATATGACGGCCATGAGTTTGGTCCCAGGTCAGGTCATCAGTGGGTACTGCCGATCAGTTCAACACTGGAACAAAACAGCTGTCCATTACTTTCCAGTTTTCAAGTGTTATATGACAAAGATTAGACTATGGTGTTAATCAAACAAGATAAAGGAAAGAACCTGATTAAGTTTTATTTTTAAACTATATACAAAATGAAGATAGATTGTTATATGAAATAAGCAGCATTATTAATCTCACCTCTATGATGACCTCCAATATTTTCCAGCTGTCGTTGACTCTGAAGTGCATCTTCTTCAACTTCACCTTCTAACTTTAATGTGCCTGCAATTTTCGCATCTGTATCATATATCTCTTGTTGAGAACCTTGTAAAGTAGATGCAATCAATTCAGAACTGCTCATTGATTCACTGTCGCGAATTATATCTGCTTCTTCTTGTACAATTATTTCATCATGTTTCTGTACAACCATTGGATCACCACCTTGTTGACTAGTTGAACAAGCTGGTTCAATTCCTGCTTGATGTTGCTGTTGTTGCCAAAACTCTTCATTGTCTTCTTCTACTTCAGTCTGACCTTGTTGTGAAGCAGGAGAAGGTCGTCCCTCTTCTTCTTCATCACCACTACCATGAATAATGACATCGGATTTTCTTGGACTTTGACTATCTAGGCCAAGATGAGTTTGAGGAATCAGCTCTGATTCATCTGGCATCGGAGTAATCCTTACATCTGGATGTTTTAATGCATCTATTCTATCAAAGCCAATCATAGACTGATCACCAACATCATTAGCTGTTATGTCATTCATGCCAGACATTAAAGTTGATGTTGCTGCTAGAGAAGTTGAGAAAGGATCTGACAAATTAGGATTCACAGGATCTGAACGTTTACCTTCATCTATTTGACGCGTAGCCTGAAAAAGTGATTGAGAGTAATAAATAAATAAAAATAAATAGCAAATTGTAAATGGAGAAAGACGACTCTCAAAATAAATGGTGAGCATACAACTTGATACACATATATCCATTTCTTGAAGTTTTAACCCTAACGAACACTGAATGATCTTATCAATGCTAATGTCAGTTCTCTATAAACTCTAATTAAAATCCTTTACATGCTACTTTCGTAACCCTTCAATGGCTAACATTGTCATAGAACCTGTAGATTACTGGGGTCGTGTGTCACCTTAAGGTTAAGAAATACCATTATAACCGGGCATTTGTAGGCATATCTATATTCTAGGATGAAGACCATAGGATAAGTAAATACATTGGGATTTATGAATTTTAATTTATTTTACTTAGAAAAATAAAAATGTCGATATTAAACTATGAGTGTGACAAATTTCCTTATCTTGTACAAAACGTATTTTGAAATAACTCTGTAAACTGAATGACTTTAAATATCGAACTGTTAATTCATGGGATATACACATAACAAAAAAGTGATGATCCTTAATTTGTTGAGAGTTACGGATATGCTTTGACAAGTATTAAGAACTACGAAATATAAGAGGATAGTTGAATTTAAGAAAAACAATATAATTAGGCAAACGTTTCAGTATGATAAATGGAAATAATTGTTTAGTGTTTGTTTGGAACTCATTATCAATTCGCTCCTGTCTACAATGCCATCTGTATTTAAGGGCTCAGGGCATGGGAGTATAGCAACAAACCCGTAAAACATCGAGTTCTGATGCTATTTAATTGGGGGATGGTAGACAGAAGTTATTGAATTTATATTTTATGCTGATTGACACTCGTAAGTAAGGTGTAAGTGCAGCTGTAGTGAACGAAGACTTAGTTGAGATAACCAATTTTTTAATGCAAAATCACACAGTGGTTTAGTAAAATGTGAAAATCATACATTTGCACATCTTCGAATTGTTTCTCATAAACTTTGTTAGCACTTCATTCTTGTTGCTATCTTGATTGCTTTCAGTTTTCTTCTTTTCATAGTATCTTTCAAGAACTGATGATCTTTATAGGATTTGAAGCTGCACCAAAGATTTTCAGTCTACAATGTCACTGAGCTGCTTGAGCCACAAACTGACCTTCTCCAGGACTTAGACGTCCACAAGTGACTCGTCATTGATCAATGTCAGGTTTGTCTTATCCTTTGGTACTAATCGAATTCCATCGACCTGTTATCCTGTTGGTAACCTTATGAATCATACTTTAGAATTCAATAGGTTGATCATTCACATTCTGTGTGCTTTGATAACTAACTTTTTTTTCACTTCTCATTTTTCAATTGGATTTAACAAGTTAAAATGAAGAAAATCTCTACAAACTATGTAATTCATTAATTACCTAAATTATCTATGATTAAAATGAAATGTGATTTTAAAAATACGAAATAATACGAAATGCGTAAGTCATATTCACCTTTGCATGTTCATCAGCATCAAGTACATAACGAATATCACGCATACATGATTTAATGACATCTTCACGACCGATTCGACGAAGTGCATAATCTAATTCATTACCTTTTTTGTGAAATGAAACAAAAATAATAATAAATATAATTAGTAACAATGATAATGATGTTATGTATGAATATGCTCATTGAAATTAAGTAAACAAGTGGTTCAATAGCTAATTAGTCTAACCTCCAGCTACAAAGTCACAGGTATGAACCTTTTGTCACCTAATTAAGTTTGAGTTACTGGGTAGTATATCTACTAGCTCATACAATTAGAATATGACATGAAGCCAAGTAAACGAATCGCCACTTTATGCAAGTTAATAATGACATAACAAAATATATAACTGTAAAGCATCTGTGTAATGCAACCAAATACAAAGTCATTACAACAGTTTCTTTCTAGAATTTTGAAACTCCAGAGATTGAACTAGATTTATTCATTATACGCTCAAATGTTTTTAATAAATATCTCTGAGCATGGAATCCATAAAGAAGTGATCTTATTTCCAGTGGGAAATGTTTTCAAAATGAAACCTTCTTTGTAGATTTCGTTCAACATTACCAATATGGTATGTTCAACGGATCTATTTAATTTAATACAAGTCATTTAAATGTATTATTAGGATAATCAATGAAATTTCATATTGATAATCTTAAAATAAGTTTTCTGTAGAGAAAGTTAATTACTTGTCAGTAATCTTACACTTGAAAGAACTGGAAGGGATTACCCAGGACAGGGTTGGATGGAGAGTGATGTTAGGCGGTCTATGCTCCTCCATGAGGGATAACAGGCGTAAGTAACATTTTAATTTAATTTAAACGACCTTAAACTTGCAATAAAATCATATTTTATCAACTATATTCGGAACATGATCACAAGAATCGGTTATGACAATATGATTTCATAACTAATGATAATAAATATGAAGTTTGTGATTGAGAGATTTTGGTCAGTCATTTAGTCAGGTCAGTAACTTGAAAATATGCTTTCTTCAAAAGGTATCGAAAAATACTTTTTTTCAGAAGTTTTATGAAGAACCAATTTTTAATCTGAAGGTAGAAATTATTTTCTACTAAGGCTTAACGAATCCCCTTGAAAATCAATAAATGCTAACAAGTGCTGGAGTAAACTATCAAAAACAGACTACTCTGAAGGTGTAAATGCATCATATTAGCAATGAGATTTAAAAATTATCAGTTTTGATCCCGTATACAGTTGATAACATTCATTACGACTAAATAGTATTTTAATTAAAGAAAGTATAAAATAAACCAATACTGTATCCATTTCTCCTTTGATTTGCACAGAAATACTTAATTTGGACGCCGATGTTCATGACACTATCAGTCGTTTCTAATAATATGTGAAAATCTAAATAAATTTTAAAAAAACACTATTTTCTGTGAAAATAGAGAAATTTAGAAAACCTATCAAGCTAACTTCTAATTAAAATAATGTGACAATCTAAGGAACCAGGGTATAGTAAATTAGATATATTTAGATAGTATAGTGAGAAGATGAACTTTGTCAAAGAAATGTTTGTCTAAAAGTGACAATCAATTCCATTAATCCATTATTCAATAAGTCTATCTGAACATGACTGTAATGAATCATCAAATCTGATTGTATCTATATGTAGGTATTTAAAACGGTATAAACATTTTAATATTTAAGAAAGAAAGGAAAGTGAACACGGAAAGAATTGAAGGAACAGATTACTGTGATTGTTCAGTGACAATATCAAGATCAAATTGAAATGATATATAAAAGCCTGAAAATCGAAATGTAATAAATAATTTTCAAAAACAACATCAGACTATGGTGTTTTAATTAAAACCCTCAATGAATATACACATATAACTCTAAGTGAAGCCGTCTGGGAGCAAATACAAGCCTCAAAACTGTGTGAAGGAATAGCATTGGGAGTAAAGCCATCAACTTTATCTCGTAGAAAATAACTGGATCCGAAAAATTAGTTAAACTCATCCTTCGGAGGGAGAAGGATCATCGTATAGAGGAGTTATGACGTCTCATAGTGTAAGTTTTGTTGCACTCAGTTGTAATAAGAAAGTATAATAGAATATGTGAAGCTCAGGTTTAATATTTTATTGAACATGATAAATAAGGGAAATAATCAAGTTCAAAGATTTATGATTCACGAAATGTATATTTGAATTCTGAGGTTAGTTAGCTTGGAAATAAATAATAAATCTATAAGGACTTTGACATTTTACATTATAAAATGACCTTAGTCAGGAACGATACAAGTCATGAGGGACAAGATCGTTGTTTCGTTCTAGTACGCAATAGCATTGCAGTGAGTATCCACGAGCCTATCAGAGATCTAACCCAAAACTCATAAGTTTCACATAGAACACTTAATCTTTAGACTAATGAGTTGGCAACCGATGTTTTACACTTCATCACAGGGCCTAAAGGTCATTTCAAAGAGATCCACACACAGATGAAACAGCTGTTCTAGTGCTTCCTTGTTTTAAATGGTTACTTAACTATAGTCAGTACATGAAATAAACTGAGTCCTTTAAAGTTGATAAAGAGGAACTTGGTATATGCAACTATTATTATTATTATTATTATTATTATTATTATTATTATTATTATTATTATGTATCATACCTGTGGCTGAATCTCCATTTTCTTCACGCCATGCCAATAATACCGCTAATGCTTGATCTTGTATTGTACGTAATTCATTTACACTAATTGGACCACCAAAACTGCCAACTACATCACCTCCGTCATTTTCTCCTGTTATTTTACCCATTTCCATAGCTAACTGATTTCTTTTAATTTGCCATTTTGGTTCATTTTCATTAATCCAATTAACTAATTGATTCACAGTACATGAACTATTTAAATGAGATTGAGGTAAAAGGAATTCGATTAGTTTAGGCCAATCTGAGCCAATTTCACTAGCAACTTGCAGTAAATCAATTTGACTACGAGCAATTACATCTGATGTATAAGCTAATTGAAAGAGAGAGACAGAAAAAAACAAGTTGAGATAAAATACATTTACAGAAGTAGTTGATAAGTAGTACAGATGTAGGTAGGAAAATATTGTTCGACTCAACATTTTAAGCTAGTTACCAGATATCAGTAAAAAGCACCTACAATCTTGAGAGGATTGATGTTCCTTGTGGGATTGAAAGTCGTGCTATCAGCCAGTTTCACCAAATGAGTTAATACCATGAAGGTGTTTAGGCTTCAACTGAAATCCCGCATTCATTTGAGCTTCAAAAACGGCAGCCATCAGACTAATCAAGAGTAGGAAAGAAGGAGGATCAAGCAACATTCCAGCAGAGACACTGAAGTCAGAAACAGAAGTAACAACAAGTAGCCTTCACGTCCTTTTCAATAAGATTTGGGAGAAAGAACAAGTGCCGATAGACTGGAAAGAAGAATACCCGATCAAGATATCAAAGAAAGGAGATATGAACAAATGTGAGAACTGCAAAGGCATCACACTACTATAAGTACCAGGAAAAGTTTTCAACACTGTTGTTGAACCGGAAGAAGGATTCAGAAGACGCCCAGACTCGAGATCAACAGGCTGGTGTCAGACAAGGCTAATGACTCTCGCCTTTCCTCTTTCTTCTGGTGGTCGACTGGATTATGAATACAACACAGAGAACCATCACACTTGATGGAGAAACTCTGAATAAAATGGAAAGTTTTACAGACCTGGGCAGCATCACAGATATACAAGGAAGACCTAAAGCAGATGGAAAGACATCGAACGGCAAAGCAAGAGCTGCATTCCCACAATTGAAGAACATATGGGACTCGAAATAACTATCAGCCAACATCACAGTCAGAATCTTTATTACAAACGTCAAAATAGTTCTACTGTATGGAGCTGAAACTTAGAGAGCTACCACAGCCATCATCAAAAAAGTACAAGTATTTATAAATAATTGTCGACGCGATATACTTAATGTCCGTTAACCGGATATTATCAGCAATAACCTACTGTGGGAAAGGACAAACTAGTTTCCAGATAAAGAGGAAATTAGGAAAAGACGTTGGAGCAAGGATAGGACATACATTGTAGAGATCATCAAACTGCATCACAAAGTAATCCTAACTAATAATCCCTGAAGGGACACAGAAAAGAGAAAGATCAAGTAACACATTGTGATAAAAACTGGAGGCAGAAAACGAAATGACGAGTAGCACTTGGGTAAAACTGGAAAGGAAATCCCAGGAGATAGTTAGTTGGAGATTCCTGGTCAGCGGCCTATTCTCCAACGTAGGGTAACAGGCGTAGCTAGGTACGTAATTAATGTACCAGGTTCTAAGTTTTGTTTATAATCGACTGACTGACTTAATAAAGAAGCTCAACTTATGACTAGACACATTTAATTTCCTGTTACCACCTCCCCCCAACTTGAATTCGCTGTGAATGGAAATTTTTAAACTGAAGCATTATTTCGATGACATTTTTGATTTTGATTAAAAATTAGGCGGAAATCGGATCAGACTGTTGTATAAAATGTTAGACCTATCTAATTTGAATAGTTGACAATTTTACATCTAATTTCTAGCCATCAACTTAATTTTTGTGACAATTATGGTACGTTTAAATTTTGAGTAAGTTGTTCATATAAATTGAACTGTAAAATAAATGATCATTCTAATCTAGTCATAATGTGAACAATACCAGTGCGATACAGGTAGATCCATTGGATAAGTCCCGAATTCTACTGTTTACCACATAATAAATATTTTAGTAAAGTGAATTGTTTAAAAAATTACTATAATTGATTTGAGAAAAAAAGGGAAAAAACTTACTTGATGCCAAATTACCACCAATAGGTTTATTAATTTCATTATTTTGTCCATTAAGAATTTGTTCATCATTAATAACACGTTTAGGATATGGGAATACACAACTTAATGAACCCATTGTTAATTCAGCTGCACTAGTTTCATTTAATTGATCTAAAAATTCTGGATGATTTTCTAAACCAATCAATGAAAGATCAAGACCGTGTTGACCATTAACACCATTATCTGAACTAAGTCGAATTTCTAATGTACATAATGGTTTTTGAACAGGAGTTATTTCATGATAGATATATTGTGAATCACCATCTCCATCCTATGAATAATGAACAAGAAAAAAGTTAATTTATTCATTTCTTTTTCTCCTTATTAGATTATTTCGTTCATCTTTTGTTTTGGGAATGATTGGAAAATAATAATTTGATAAAGGGATTTATATGATCTTATTCATTTTCACATATTAATAATATAGCTAAATGCGGTATACATAGACCTGTACTATCCCATATGTCTTGGTATTTGAACGCTTGGATACCTATTTTCTAAACGCTTTATCGTTCACCAAAATATTCTACTTTTCAATTCTTAATAAAAACTAAAGGTGGGAAATATGAAAGGTATTTTACTTTCAAGGTTATTTTATGTACTTATTGGATTATATTTGACACTGAAATTCATAAAAATCTGAAAACAAAAATTAGTAAATAATTTTTCCTATCAGTATAACAAAATGATAATTAGCCGTTATCGAGAATTCACTTAGAAGTTTCTATAGAAAGTTGCTAATGAGTTACTAGTGTGAATCAGTGACCAGTGCAGTTCAACCGGGTCTGTTGTGAAAAACAATGGTGAATGTATCGATCAATCTCGTGGGTTAGTTGAAGTAAGACATTAACACTGCTGGATGCCGGCTCAGTGGTCTAGAGGTTAGGCAAAACTGAAAGAACACGGGTTCGAATCTCACTAGGAGGGATGGTGGATGCACATTGCTGAGGAGTCCCACAGTAAGATGAAACGGCCGTCCAGTGCTTCCAGGTGGTCTAGCTTCAATTGACTCATGATCTCAACCATTGAAATTACTATATTATCCACATAAACCCTTTCAGTTACTAATTGGTCATCGTATTTTCAACAATTTTGTTCTGTTTTTGAAGAGCTTTCTAAACATTATCGAAGGCTCCTAACATAATGTAAATGAATCACATTAGTGTAGGCGCGAAAAAAATGCAAAAACATTATCACAAACGTTTAAGTCACCTACTTTTTAACTACGAAAATATTGCAGTAATTTTCCCTGTTTTAAATCAGTTTGAACCGACTAATAATGAATATTAATAGTGTATGCCTTCATGTTTTGTTATAAACAAAATATATATTTATAAGAATATGATTTTTCAATAATAATTATTTGAGTGTATTATAAGCAGACATGATGGTGGCTAGCAGTGGAATCCAAGACATGAGTTTTGTTTTATTCAGGACTCGTCAGATGGATATACCTGCATCCCAGAGTTGATGTTCACTCCGAGACTCTGAACAGTATCGTTCGCTTCAAATGCCAACATGTTACCAGTTAGCTACTGTCCCCAATCTATTACGAGTTAGAGTAAAACTCATACACTTTGTGCAAGAGAATGGCTACGCGTACTCAGTAGCTAATTAGATGACGCTTTGGTGTTTGAAGCGGACAGGGCGGGTGTTATGACTTTATGTCCGATTTTTTATCACTTGATTTATCTACCAATCATAATACGACCTATACAGTCTTAGCACTGTGTCAAACCAATGACATTCGACCGGTATGGGCAGCCCAGCGTCCTTATCGGTCCTATGTCCGCCTAGCCCGTCCACTTGAGTCCAAAACACCAATACCAGCTTCCACTATGCGAATCGAGTCGAATCATTTATTTCAGGCATACCGGGTTTATATATCAATCAAACAGACCTTAACGCATCATAAAATAGGAAATAACATTTGTACACAATAAAGCCAAAAGTGGCTGTGAACGTGGGAGGCAGTAGTTAATAAACTGAGCATGATTTAGGGACAGTAAATCGTATAATAATAAATTATAGGTCAAAATGAAGCTTATATCAAGAGGAATATAAATATACATAATCTAATGATTGAATAATTATACAATGAGAATATTTATAGAATGTTAGTCCATTAATAGTCCTCGGAAGTTATTCGTAATTTAATCTTCACTAGGATATAACAGCGGGGTTCGAGTCCTGGGATGCAACTACACTCAGATGACGAGTTCTAAATATGACGAAGTGTATGTTGTGGATTCTGCCGCTAACCACATTCCGTCAACTCCACTTACTATCATTATTATCATATCTGGCTATACGAACATCAAAATTCGGTAAATTTTGGGGGTGAAATAATCAATACATCCTAGTTTCATTCATTATTAATGTGCACTGCTTATATGCTTAACTAACCGTAATAATTCGAAGATAAATTATTAACTTGAAATGGATGATATATGATCTAGTTACAGATCACATTGATGAATAACTTTGTGACCTATTCACAATAATTAATGATAGAAATAATTATTAGTAAATTCTAGAGACTTTCTGTTAGATGAATTATATCGATAAAAGTGTGATGTCATTTGAATCATATAGATTGAAGAAAAATTGTTACGATCTATTTCAACGATAATTCATAAATGATTATGAGAACAATATTATTACTGAAAGGTATAATTGCTTTACATAGTTCGATGAATTTTAAGTTCATATCAAAGAAAAAGGGATTCAAATTTTACAAGTTTAAAAAACAATAAGCAACATATTTTTCATTATCAGTATACGGTTGTGGAAATTGTGAAATTTCATTGAGATCCTGAACCAATCAAAGTAAATCTAAAGGCACTAGGTGACCGTTTCGTCCTAATACGGTGGGATCGAACCCAGGAACCGCGATTTCGCGTGCGAACGCTTAACTTCTAGACTGCTGAGTCAGTATCCAAAGGTATTATTTTCCAACTTCAATCGATCCGCGATTTTGAGCGAAATTCTTCAAAGTTAGCTTACTTAATTTGATTGAGTAGATTATGAGTGGGGATATATAACATACATCTCATTTTACTTCTATTGACAAAGAATCACAGTTTACACGTTATTCAATCATCTCAATATTAGAGTACTCTACACTCAATACCAACATTAATCACTTTGTAATTCTATCCTCACACTACCAATACTCTGAGGATATCTATCATCAATCTCTGGCAATCTATGCATAGCATTTATCATTACTGACATACATGAACATCAGATAGGTCTGTGAAGCTAATCATCCATAACAAACACAACAAAGCGAGTAACTTAACGTTATCACCAAAACTGTTACACAAATACACGATCCATAATTTTAGCTGTAACGACATATTTTAATAGTTGGACAACAATATAAATAAAACGTGTCATATCTATTACTTCCTAAAAATATGAAATTTGATTACAACACAGTCAATAAAAACGTGTCCCATGTTCAGATAACATGAAAGTCTTGTGAAACAGATATCATATAGACTGGCTTCTATTGAATCACAAATAACTGTTTGGAAAATGTAAAAATAATGTAAAATTTATATTGAGAATAAGGTTGTTTTTACGTTAATTAACTGATTGTATAACCACTATTAGTGAACATCCTCTTTATGTTATTAGTGACGATTAAGTATAAACTATATAGAATATTGTACATATATCGCTGAATAATCTTGAACAGCTGAGTGACAATTTATTCATTCAAAGTTACATTCTGCATCTTTGTCATAGCCACAAATAGTTTAATAGGGAAATTCATTTCTACCGACAAAATCTTGGGATTATCAAATTGGCTGAAGAGTTATGTAGATGAATTTACCAGAACTATTGTTTTCTCAATATATGATGAATTGATAAGTAAGTACCGTCACATATTTTAACATTCCTGCTTCACCAGATCACCTAGTTGACAAATCTTCTGGCTGAACGCTTAAATCAGTTTTCTAAGATCTAATAACCCAAAGCTAAATAAACACGACAACTTCGACGAGAGAGAAAAGGCACTAGATATGGAAAGAACGCTTTAATCCAAGGTTCGTTTATGTACAGAAAATCAAGGGTATTTACGGCATTTCAGATAGCTTCGGGCTACTGGAAAGTTCTGGAACATAACTTAACATTCTAGCAAAATAGGTAATCATCCAGTCAGAAATGTGGCACGTGAATCTTCACTTTTTAGATGTTTCTGAGAAACTTTTATTCAATGCTAATTGGATCGAATGTTTTACAGCCTTTCTCAGGGCTCCTCTAGACCATTTTTGAGGGATACTCTGAATATCCTCAACGCTAGTACTAAGTAATCTTCACAAATTTCTCTAAAATACTAATCATGTGGTCACTAGTGATTAGGTTTCAGATGCATCTTATGGATTTCTAGTGAGATGTGATCAGTGGAGTTCAGATCTTTCGAGTTTGAGACAGTTATTCACCACAGGCAATAGATGATGGTTGCGCAATACTGCAATTTAATTAAAATTAGACATTATCGTCGTTAAATCCAGACTCAGTGGTCTAGATGTTAAGCGTTTTCATATATGATCAAAGGTCTTAGTTTCGACCACCAGATACAGGGTCGTGTATAGGCAATGCAGAGAAGTACTAAAATGAGACGGCTTTTCAATGCTTACAGAGTTTTCACAAGGGTTCAACTAAAACCAGTTAGTGATTTAAACAATCAAAATTCGACCATTTCCACGAATACCCCTTATACTCAAGTAAACTGAAAAAAACTGACTGGTTCACATATTACACTAAGTCTTTGGATGAAAACGAAGATAATCAATTCACTTGACAATACCATTTCTCTTAAAATCATGCTGAAAAGAATTTTCTTTCAAAATTTTAAACGTTACCAGTACTATGAAAATATATATTTCCATAGTGGATTTCATCAGATGAATGATAAAATTCACTCATTACTTTTTAATTTTTACGCAAGACTGAAAATTTATTTACTTCATTCTAAATATTTCGTCCTAGTATTTCAAGATACTCAATATCCGTTAGCCGGACACCATCAACAACAGCCTACTGTGAAAGAGAACAAACCAGCTCCCAGATGAAGAGGAAATCAGGAAAAGACGATTGTGGTGGATAGGACATACATTGTGAAAAACGTCAAATCGCATCACGAGGCAAACTTGGAATCTTAAAGGGAAGCGAAAAGGAAGAATATCAAGGAACACAATGCGTCGCGAATAGTAAGTAGACATCAATAGGATGAATAACAATTGGAAAGGATTGCATAGGACAGAGTACAATGGAGAATGCTAGTGAGCGGCCTATGCACCTCTACGAAGGGCAACAGGCGTAAGTAAGCAAGTAAGTAAGTATTATACTTCTATCTAAATATTTACTATAAAGAATGGTTTTCGAGTACAAAGTACAACTTACCTATTTGTATTTAATATATAAAATGTAATTTTAAGGAACAAAATGTTTTTCCTTAGCCTTGAATAATTTATTAACAACAATAATAAATAAACAAATAAAATAAACTTACTCGAATTGGTTGTCGTGGTTCACGCATAAATGCTAATTTACTAATAGCTTCTTGTTGAAGATCTTTTACACGTACTGGAAATGCAAGTCTATTCTCATGGAATGCATTGAAATGTAAACGTAATTGTTCACTTAATTTTGCTACAGGTAATAAATTACCAGCTGTTTCCAGCCAAACTGGTCGACTTTCAATTATTTCAACTTCTGGTGAAGCAGCACACAATTCAAAACCTTCTTGACATTCCAAAGTCTTCATAGAAATAAGAAAAAAAAATGTAGAAAAGAATTTTTAAACGACACTATTTCCCTAACATTGAAATCCAAAACATAAAATCAGCAATTTATTGACTGCTGATATAATGATGATGATCGTCATAGAATATTGTGATTAGTCAATTAGTTATAAACAACACAGAATCCGGCAGTACATATTTACATTGGTCTAAGTTCCTACATTGTATTAACACAGTAAGATGAAATTATCAAGATAAATCACACAGTATTAGAAGTTGTAACAATTTTAGTGATAGCATAGACGATAAGATTTTAAAAGAAACAGTAGATTCAGACCATAAAAGTACAATATAATTTTAGAATTCAAAACCTAAATGAAATTAAAAAGTGCTTTTACATGCACCCAATTTTGACTGACAAAAGTTTAAAAACTACTAAAAGTCATTTCAGTAGTCTAATGTGATTGATCTGTTTGTTCTGCGTTACCTGGATATCACAGGCCCACTTTCTGTTAAAATTATAAATGGTCACCATTGAAGAGTAGTGAACTAGAACAAAATAATAGCACATTACTCCTTGGATATTTAAAAAAGACTTTTTTCAGTCAATTTCAAACCATAATTCAAACTAAATTCATCATATTAGATGTTGCTTATTCAGGTTTTAAATTAATATTTAACATAAACGCAAGAGTAATAATAAAATCCAATCAGTTATCATTAATGTTATCACTAAAACCTTCATGTTGTTCTAACTTATATGTCATATTTATCCACTCTGATCACATTCTATAGATTCAGTTTCTATTTAGCTAATAATCTGAGTAACAGGACACCGAGTGCATTATGTTTCTTTGATGTTAGGTGGTTGGAGGCAAGAAACCCATGACCTAGCTCCTTTGATTGTTGTTACTTTTCAGCATAACTTACCAACAATTTTGAAGGAAATGATGTGCTCTGTGTTATTTGATAACAAATATTCAGAATCTCAGCTACTGCTGAGTGATCAGTTAGTCGTAAATATATTGCTCCTACAGAAGGTCAGTCGTGGCTCAAATATCCCAATAGTAACATTGCATCATTTTAAACTGATTGAATTACACAGAAGACATCAGTCACCTAATGTTTGCAGCTACACTTTGTTGACAAGTACCAACTTGCATAAAACTCTTACCATATAACATTTAAATATATCCATAACTACAAAATGACTGAAGTCTAAACTATACTTCATTCAGACGACTAACATTAAATAATTCCAAAGATTATAAAATTAATTTCATAAAGGTTTTTCCGTGTACACTGACTTGGACAGTATTCCAAATTGAAATAAAACAACTGTCCATTATCATAGTCATTAATTCGACATTATCATGCAATGCAATATAAACAATTTTCTATAAATTCATGTTAAATAATTCATAGAATCAATTAACTGATAGATTATATATATAAACAATTTATAATATAATCTCTTACTATGTTTAACTCATTACATATAATATATGAATCAAAATAATGGTAAGTTTACATTTGAATAAAGGTAACGTCATCATTATTTCGTTTTTCAAGAATTACCCAGTTAGCAAATATGTATGTGAAATGTTGTGATTTTTAGGAAAAAATAAAAACTTGATAGTCTTACATAGTAGTAATAGTAGTAGTGTGATGTGTGTTACTGATGTCAACAGATATAAGTAGTAGGTATCACTGATCGAAAGTAGGATGTCTGGCGACAAAAGGTTAAGAAAATCGAAGAGAAGAGAACGAGAAAAGAGAATAATTGATATGAAGATGAAGGAACAATAAAGTCTGCGACAACTGATGGACATTTTGCAAATTAACTATTTACTGTATGGTTCTCAAATTTTACCAAGACATTATGTAAGATTGTGTTAGAAAGCATTTGGTTGTCTCTGCCTGTGTTCTCATTCACTACAGTAGTAGTTGTTATAATAGTGGGTCAATGTATAAAATCTTATTAGGTATGAATTATACACTTTTTTGCGTGAGAGTTCACACTACTACTAATCGACTGGGTGCAAGTCAAGGTATGGGAAGATAGTTGAATGGTTTGACGACTAAATAATAAGTTCAATAATTAATCTTATAATATATAAATGATTAAATGATTATTTTTATTACTTTCATGATTAACGAATACTGACTATCAAAAGGTACCAGTTCGAATAAACTCCCTAACTGTCATCCTTATCCCCTAAAAAGAATTTTAAAATATCATTAGACTATTGCTTGTAAGATCGATAGATTTCTCAAAAACAAATATTAGTCTACTAGTAATGTTGGACAGTTCCTAGCATTGGAATCCAGGATCCATGCTGTATCCTGTTTCTGGACTCGTCAGCTGTCTGTACCTACATCTAAATAGAACAAAATGCTCTTGTAGATTCTACCGATAGCCATCAAAAGAACTTGAGTAAAAACCTGTAGTTAAAACACAATATTGAGTAGATTAGCTCAGAAAGCATGTATACTGATCAATGGCTGGTCAATTGCAGTCCTTAGTTACTGTTTACATGTTATGTGATTGGTAGTGGAATCTAGAAACGAAAACAGTGAGATGTGAGTAATCTCTATCCAACAAGTCTTAAATAGGATGAAATTTGAGTCATGGAAGTTACTATTAGTTCCGCATTAGATAAGTTTATAACTCCAGAACAAAAATGATTTTGTATTGTAAAAAGGCGATCAAATAAGTCTTCTAAACAAAATTGTAAAAGTTTGTTTTATTCAATGTGGAAGACTGTGGAGACTGTTTGATTAGTGTGCGTGACAGTGTGCATCAACGACATACGTTAGTGAATTAACTATGGACTTTCGGGTCTTAAGGGAAACACTTAACCATTAGACCGCTGATTTGGGACTTACCGGTTTATATTTTGGACTTCAGTCTATTAGCGATTTATATTACCATCTAAAAATGTATAGTTTACTAACCTTGTCTACTTTATCATCTGTGACACAGAAACATCGAACTAATGCTTCATCCATATCCAAACGTTTGGTAAATACAACAAATTTACCCATATATGGAACTAACGTGGCTTCGGCATACAGCATACTTGCAAATTCTGCAGCTTCATGTACAGCTGAACAATCCATTAGCCAAAATCTGAAATCAAGACAAAGAAATCATTTAAGTCAGTCATTCGTTGAGTCAGTCACAACGTTGAGCCTGTATGTATGTATATCGGTTCAAGTTGCAATATCACATTAGCACACTGAGATGAGATTATCATGTCAAATTCCAGAATAGTAGAGGTAGTAACAGTATCAGTGATAATAGAAAGATTAAGAATTGAGGACACGTATCGAAAACAAATGTAAATTGGTGAAATAAAAAAAAGAAAATTTATGAGGATCTTAGAATCTCATGATTTACGAGAAAACAAAGAATGGACGCACATGCGCCATCGCAAACAATGGTGAATCATGTCATTCTAAGTCTCTAACCATTGGTTACGATAATCACGAGAAACCCAACAAGGTAATCTGTACCTACTAAGATGGCTAATTCCATTTATATGATTACCCATTCGTTCATCAATAAACAATATTATTACCTGTCAGAATGGGGTTGTGCGAACTTCTGAATTCAATGAACCGATCAACATTAGATCACCGTTGAGAACTTGGAAGCACTGGACGACCACTTGTTCTAATGCAGAACTCCTCAACGCACAACCCCATTCCGACAACTACAATATGTTCTACAGTGATTATCTTCGAGAGCAAATTTCCGGATTTATAGATGGAAGTCGTGACTCGTAGAGTTCAACCGTGTCGTGTTTAAGGTAGATACTGAGTGAAGACAATGGAAAATAGTAGCACAATATTGTGGGTCGGTTGAAACTGGACAATAATATCATTAAATTATGAGTAAGTGGTCTAGATGGAGGTCCCTGGGTTCGATTCTCGCGTGCAGGGTTGTGGACGCGCACTGCTGGGTAGTCCCATGATAGGACGAAATGGCCGTCCAGTACTTTTAGGTTCTCAATGGTGGTATAGCTTAGACAGACTAGTGAATTCTCAACTGCTTGATTTAGTTAATCTCAGGGAATCAGGGTCACATTTTTAGTTTTAATGTAAAAGTTGGATTTCATTTCAAATCAAGATCAGTTGAATAACCATCTAGTTCTTTCTGAATAGTATAGAAAATACACGAATATAAGGATTTGAGTAACAGTGTAAATATCTTAACTGTGATTAGCGTAAATCATGCTGAATATTTAGAAACGGAAGGAAAAGTAGCTTCTGTATTTCACTGTATAACACTATCAAAAGTATAGTGAAAAGTTTGACTTTTTTTACTTAGAACATAGGAATTTAATGCAGCATGATTATTATCATACGGCCTTCAAAATTTGATAGATTTGGGATTCTAATCATTTCATATTTTTAACAATTATTTTAGAGCTAAAAACAATACAATGTAATATCAAACTTTCACTGAATATCTTCTTCCAGTACAATGAGAAATATTTTTTTCAAAAGTCAATGAGAACCATGCCAATGACTATCTGTTAATAATTTAAATAAGTATACAAATAAAAATTAAAAACTAACCACTATTTATCCTACCTCGCTGAAACTGTTGTCGTGAAGGAGATACAATCTTTCACTTTAGACAATGGTGTAGATCCAGTAATATCTTCCCATTGTGCTGGCGCTGTACCACCGGTAATACTGCACAACAATCGTAAACTTGGTACATTTTGTGATTTTAAATCATTCACCGATGGATTCAGCATACCACGAACAACAGCTTTCGGTAATGGTATAGTTAAGGTGATTGGTTTATGAAATTTACGACGACGTGGTTCTAATGTGACAATTGGCGAGACTGTAACACGACTACCAAATAATCGTGTAACTAACTCTGGAGCGATTGGCTGAGCCTAAAATTTAAAAAATATTCAACACAAAAAAATGAATAATTGTAGTTAGATGTTTTCGCACAGACTTCTTTATAGTATAGGCGATAATTAATAAGAGCCTATCAATCAAGTCACTTTCACTTATGGAATAGTTACGCTCATACTATAATTCTTTAATTGTGTTGATGTATAGTCAGGATTGTACCCATTATAACTGTATGGGTGATTCATAAATTTGAACTGCTTAATAAAAAGTTATTTGCTAAATGTGATCTGTTCTATTCTGGTTATTGGGCGAGCGAACTTGGGAAGCCGCATTCTGGACCAGTAGTTATCAACTGTTATTTTCGGCTTTCTCAGTATTATCGTAGTAATGATTATTCGAAGGTCATTGGTACTAGATAGATAGTTCAGGGAGACTAATCAATACTCAGACTAGATCAATACAAATTCGCTACTGTCTTACAGTTCTATCACACGGACCTCAAATAAACTACACAAAACAACTATTTATGTATACCGTTACGTTAATAATTGTCCCAGAATTTGTTAGAAAGTAATATAATAATGCCACATCCTAAGGATTAATTTACTATTTTGATGTGTTCTCTTAACGCATGTAAGCACTCTAACCTCTAAGATAAAACTATTTGACTAGTTTGATGAAACACTAAAATCAAATAACCCGTTGAGAGAGATGGTAGAATATACATAATTTACTTACAGAACTGTATCTGGATTTCAAACAAACTGTTATTTAAAGAAAAAGCCAACCAACTGTCTGGTTAATTGATAAGGAAATAAAACTCATTTATATTACAAAGCTAGAAAATCGTTGAAAACAAGAGGAACTGAACAAATATTCCATCTTAGAGAATACATAATACATGTCTCGAAGACAGAAAATGTACTTTCATCAACAAAAAGCATTAACCAATGTATTGTAAAACTGACTGCGTGATGATCATACTACCTACTCTACGCTACGCTAGAAAATGATCTTCATTATAATATGATGACAGTCCATGTTATATAATATGATTTCAAAAGCTCCAAGCAGATGTTTAAAAACCTCAAAAAATGCTTATAAATGATAATGCCTTGGATCAATAGGCGTCGAATACTCACTGATTGGATTGACATCGTTAACGTTTAGTATACACTTAAATAAAAAGTAGCGTGATACCCAGAATCCTCAGTTGATTATGTCTGTAAATCAAACATTCCATATAATAGCAATTTTCTTAAAAACCAACAGGGTAGTCTAAAAAATAGACGTACTTGTAAACCGACACGAATTCTTTTCTGTAGTGCACCTTCTGGGAATACAGCTTGAACTTGTGGAACAACTGTTGAACTAAGAACACCACCATCTGAACCAACTAAAGATGATTCTTGGCGTATTCTACTAACAACTGCCATATATTGTGGAAAATCATTAGTCAATATACGAATAATACGTTTCGCACGAAGTTCTTCCAGCGTCTCTAACGTGTCTGTTTAAATCAAATTCATAACCAAAATGATGCGGATACGAAAACATTATGTCATAACAGATATTATTATAACAAAACAGTAAAACAAAAGAATAGGTTCCAGTAAACTAAGACATAATTTTGCGATAATACTTCTGAATTAGATGATTTCAACTACTCATTCCTTCCAGTTCCCTTCAACTACTAAACACCAAAAATTCGTCACGCTTACATGAAATCACTGTGCCCAGAAGCTGCGTCGCGAACTGATCTGTAGAACTTGATTAACACAAAATGCGAAACAAATTAAGCAGTTGATGCTGACCAGTAACCAATCAATGTGAATATTTCAGTCGTACAGGTTAATTCAAAATAGTAACTGGTATCTTGACATTGTGGTCAGGCTTCCATATATTGGTGACTCAATCATGCCGTCAAGACCATTCCTAATCTAGTCTCTTTTCCAGGGACGCCACGAAGAGGCATCGTTCTATAGTCTAATCAAGTGGGAAGTGAAATTCCCCTCCCAAACAATAAAGGCATACAAGATCACTATATTCACAATCAAATCACATAACCGTTTATTATGACATACAGATTAGCTGAAACCCAAGTAGCACCGACTGTAACACTGAATGACAGAAAAGTTCGAATCACACAGAGAGCACTAGTTTTCTCAATACTACAGATACACCTTGTTAATTAGAAACAACTAATAAGAGACTAGTTCTCAATAATACGTAATCTTGAACAGCAACTTAGAAAAAGAAATCAGCTACTCTTTAAAATTTATATTATAGCCAAGTATTTAGCACTAAATGCAATGTATACTGAAAGAAATTACTCTTTGCTGGTGTACTTTTATGGAATGAAGTTGAGCCAATTTAAGTCCTGATCTTTCCTATTGACATGTCTGTTCATGTGTGATATTAATTCACAACGTGAAAGATACGTTGCCACTTTGATTTATGGATTATGATCCGAAATAAGAAAATAAAAACTGGCTCTACTAATTATCATTAGTTTTGTTTATTAGAAAGTACTATTTATCTATCTAGTAAAATGTACACCTTCATATTCTGAACACTTACCGAAACTTTGACCTACAGCTGACTGAACTGCTTGATCTGTAGCTTCTAGTGAATGTTCACGCCATATTTCAGCATTATCACTACGTAATACAACGAGTTCACGTTGACGACCACGTAATGAAGCAAAATGTGGAATTTCTAACACAACTGGTGAATTGAAACGACATGGATGCGGTCCTAACTCAATGATACTATATGAGATATACAAAAATTAAGGAAATATTGGTTAAACCAATTTAAGAAGAAAAAAAAGACAGATTTCCTCGATAGTAAACTTTCAAAAGAAATAATTAGGCTGAACTACTTGTTGAGATCAATTATCTAAGTTAGACAATCATTGAAAACCTGGAAGCACTAGACTTTCATTTCTTGATAGTGTGAAACTATTCAGCAGTGCGCTGCAGCAACCATGAAACCGGGAATCAAACCTATGACCTGCGGCCTTGGGCGTGAACGCTTGATCTTCAGACCACTGAGCCGACACCCAATGGTGTACAAGTCAACCTGCAATTTACCGCGAGCATCTTCCATTGTCTTCAATGGGCAGCTTCTACAAAGCCGACGAGGTCTAGATCCACCGCTCACGGCGATGGAAGATGTTCACGCAATATCGTGGATTGTTTGACCTTAAACTTATGTACCATTAAATCCTAGCTCAGTGTTCCAAAGGTTAAGTTTTCGCTTATGAATCCGAAAAAGGTCATGGTTTTGATTCATGGATTACGGGGTCGAGGATACTGAGAAACCCGTACCAGAATTGAATAGTTCTGCTCTTCTTGACGTTTAGTGGTAATCAGAGGGTCAGTTCGTGATATAAACTACCAACTTTTGACACTGATTAAAACAAAACTACTCGAGTGGTACTATAAAGCTTAACAAATTAAATTTGCTGATTATTTAAATGTTCATATCTGTCATTAGAATAAACAATCTATAGAAATATTAAAATTTTAAAAATTAAAATTTACCGACAAGCTAATCCTTCACAATCATTCAATTGAGGTGGTCGAGCTGTACGTTCAGGTCGTAACATACGGCAGGTAATACGTGTTGGTGCACTTGCTGCACTTGGTGGGACTAAAATTCGTAGACCTGGATGACGGCTACCACGCATCGATCCACCACGTGCATCCACCAAAAATGATACAAGAAAGCTACATGAGGAAATGAAAAGAAATTTGAATACTAAAAACTATATAATGACGCTATATATATTAGTTTATTATAAATCAAGGTTAAATCATTATTCGTTAACCGTTGAATTATCCTGTTGTTAATATTAAGGACTGAATTTTGTTTGTTTTTTGTTAGTATTTGTATGTTTTGAGTATATCGTCTAGATTTAGCAATTTTGTTATATTTTTTCTTAATTAGATGGATTGTAGCTAGCAAAAGGGACGCTGGACGGGAGTTTTACTTTATTTTGAACTCATCAGATAGATATAAATGCATTCCAGTACTGATGTTATTCAGACACTTATTTTGTGGTTCGGATATACTACATATTGAAGGTTTAGGTTGTGTATAATGCATGGGATTGATTTCGGATTAAAGGATATAATAAAAGGAATGTATTCAACTGTCAATCTGATATCTCTGTAATAAAAGAACTGACGATTTAGACAGTCATATGTTTAAAAATTCCCGGCTTATGTTATCTCGAATAGTTTGTATCAGTTTACATGTACGTGCTAACGCACACATATTGAAAGAACAGAAAGGAAAGTTAGTGTCTTCATTACTGAACAAACGTCACAGAAGCCTAGATTAAAAGGATATCACGTTTCCACGAGATCAACTGTACACCATTCGCTTGACAGTAGTTATGGTTTTTTACATGTTAAATTCTTTCAAGACAATATACAAAGAGCGCTTAATTTACTGTGTTTCTCTAAAATGATTTCCATAAAAAGACTTAAACCAAATTTATTCATTCAAAAAGAGTCAGTTATCAATCCTGCCATGGTAACCTCATTCATAAATGGTTGATACATAATTTTTTTTATTCTATGATACTAATTATTAATTCTTACTTATCATTGGATGTGTACTGTTAGTCAATTTTATTTTAACAACTACATACCTATAATATTAATATTTCATTTCTAATTCATTCTATTCCTATACTCTTAGTTTTTATTCTAAAATATTCATATAATCAACCTATAAATATTCACATTATAATTAACATATGAGCATCTCTTTTACTTCTTCCATACTTATTACTCTTTTCATGAACCTGTATTGATGGAAACTTTTCCAATATAATGAAACTATGATGTCAATTATGTACAGTGATTTTTGATGATTAATGGTATTATGTTTAGGCTATATGAAACAGATGAGAAACTGTGAAACAAAATATTGAATTCACCTTATTCCACTAGGTTTGGTGTTCATGCTTTAGTTAAATAAAAACAAATCTCTTTGCTTAAAACAATCGTTTGATGATAAAAAGTTTCTATTACAGATCTATTAACGTTCAATTGATTAAAGAATGAAATAAGAGCTGAATGCACATTACAATGTATTGATCATATTTTCAAAGTATACAATACAAAATCATCGGATGTATACGTTGATGAACAATGCTGATGGGCAGCCTATGCTTCTCCACCAGGAGTATCACGAGTAAGTAAGCAAGTATACGTTTATACGTAAAAAACAACAGTATTAGAAAAACAGTTGGTCACATACGCATAATGTCAACCACTTTTCATTTCCTTCATATTTAACTTATCACTTCAGAATCACCTCTCCAAATAGTACACATAAAATAAATAACAAACCAGTTCTTTCTCTCTTTTCTATATTGGTCTTTCCAGGCTTCATTAATACCAAAGAAAGGTTTTCCATCTATCTTATTAAATGAAGAGTCTACATGCTTTTGGTATTATTCGATATTTACTTTAACGATTCGTGAATTCTTGTATACTACTTATTATCTTCAACGGTTATCCATCATTCTTTGGTAAGCTTTTGAGAAAATACTTTACTTTGTTATACAGAGTGATGAAAGCAGTTAGTAACGTATGTGATAAGTTTTTTTATACCAATATGAATATGGTTATGGATAGACATTCGAAATCTAGCAAAAACCTGCCAAATATGATTTGATCAGATACTAGCCATTCATTCCACTAACATCTTTCTCTTTGTAAATCTTCGGGTAGAACAAGACGCAGATACATTAGAATCCATGTATACAAGCAGAAGTATAGATGCTCTACGACACCGCTTTTATCTAGCAAATATACTATGCGACGAAAAGGTTATAAGAGCCGACCTAATCAAAACGTTTACTCATGAACATATTAGGAATTTATGGTTGTATGGGTCCTCAATGCTTATCTATTGTTTTTTTTCTTTTGTGTAATAAAAGAGTACGAAAACTTTGTTGAAATATTGCTTGCTGGGCATTTTAAATTGTATTATACATATAATTCTGAATAAAACTATTACAATTATTATCACTATTATTAGTATTATTACTCTCTTTCTGTTCCCTGCATGTCTTTCTCTTCGAGATAACCAAATTTAATTTGTTAGTCCTGAATGAATTTAACCAACTTAAAGAAGTATTCTCAACAGTTATAGTACAAAACCATAAATTATGGAACCAACCAAAGTTGTAGTGATGAGGGCACTCATACACATAATGACAACATACGAATCCCGCTGTATTACACAACACAAAATCATTTGAGTTTGTCTTTTTTTACAAAAAAAACACGATCGTATTAACTAGTCATTGTGTTCGTGATGAAAATGACCTTCATAACAATTTAACAAAAATAAAGTACACTCAAAATAATCAAAATTCATTTCATAAATTACGAAACAACAATGTACTTTATGTAATTTTCTATTTCATATTTAGACATCAGTCAACAAATTATATTTTTAAGAAAATTAAATTGAGAAAATTTATCATGATTTTGATTAGTTTCAATAGTTGAGATCATGAGTTAATTGAAGCTAGACCACCATGGAAAACCTAGCAGCACTGGACGGCCGTTTCATCCTATTATGGGACTCCTCAGCAGTGCACATCCACATCCACTCACTGATGACAATGGTGCATGTGTCGCTCAGTTTCGCGAATTAGTTGAAGTTAGACATTAACACCTCCGGATTCCGGCTCACTGGTCTAATGGTTACGCGGTCGCGCTCGAGACTGATAATCCCTGGATTCGAATCCCGTGAGGCGGGGTCGTGGATGCGCACTGCTGAGAAATCCCACAATGGGTTGAAACGGCCGTTTAGTGCTTCCAATTTTTCCATGGTGGTCTAGCTTCAATCGACTCATGATCTCAACTATTGAAACTACTACAATCTCCACGAAACCCCTTCGGATTATCGTTAGATTAGTAATTGTCTGTTAAATAAAATTAGTTTCTACGTTAATTTCTTAAATAAATTCTATTAAAAAAGAAAAAAAATTGTTATTATGAAAAGCAAAGATTTAAGTAATAAGAATTACTAAGAACGAATTACTCGAATTCAATATAGAATATCAACAAGATAATTCATACTCTTACTATCATGAATAATAATATAAGCATCATTCTCGTTCAACAAGTTAGTGACTATATGAAATTCAGTAGCTTGGTGAATAATGCGTTAGACATTTAAAGTGAAAGGTACTGGTTTATAGTTTCAAAATAAGTTGTGATACAGATGTGTGCTTAGCTGACAAATCACAAATTGAGTGAAATACACTTGCTAGATTCTAATGTTAATTATAATCCATCAATTCTGAAAGACTATGTTACAGGCAAATAAGCAAATGTCTATTATTTGGCTGCTGACCCACAGTATATCTAGGTGTATTCATATATAATGATGAGGGAATTTACTTGAACACATACGTGACAGTAAAACAACGCAAATTATTTAGTGTTGGAGTTAGAGGTGTTTCATTTGAGAAAAAAGGGAGTACTACGACACCAACTCCATCTAACAGAACCAATCTAGTCAGAATGGTATGTATGTGGAGATCATTTAAATTGAAGATGTTTTTAGATTACAGACTAGTTGTAACCAGACAATCCCTGAAAACCAAGAAGTTCTGAAAAACTGTTTCATTCTAGTATGAGACTCATCAGCAATGCATAAACACGACGTTTTGATTCAGAATTTTCAATGAGCGCATCACCTTTATATCAGTAAGTTCTCATGCCTTTGTTCACAAATACAATTATTTACAATTTAACACTACCATCTTACATTACAAACTGACGCTTATTGTTCGATGAGAAAAATGGTAAATTCTTCACCAAGTTATCAACTCAATCATCTCAGGATATACATATAAAAACAGAGATTGATCAATTGCAATTCTGAATGTCAATAACTTCAGCTTGTCCGTCTGTTTGTTTATTTTATGTTGTTTTTGTTTTTGAAAAAAAAAGCGGACATAATCACGGTCAATCAATTTGAACGTTATACATAGAACATAATGAGCGTAAAATGAAATAAGTAATTGTTTAAATATTATTGAATATAGCAACATTCACACATACACACGAATATAATGAAACCATCTTATGACCTTTTTTTTCATTAGTACAACAGAACCATTACAAGTAAACACAAATGCACAATTATGAAAAACACGATTAGTTTTATTTACATAAAAGTTGTAGGAACTAAACAATTTATGTAATAATAGAGTCCTGATTATTGTTAATAGTATTCTATTTAGTAGTACCGTGAGTTTTTCAGTAATTATATATAAACAGATATATAATAGCCGTATTCTAATTTATATCATAATTCATAAAAATTAGCTTTCACATAACATATAAAATTTAAAACTGTTAATCGCTATGATGAAATGAGATAATTCAATGAAAAACTAAAGATTATTGAAACTATGTGATAAACTGTCTAGTTAACATTATAGAATAATCTTAGTCAAACAACCATTGTAAACCAGAAGGCAGTAGATGGTTGTTTGTTTTTTTTTCAAGTATAAGACTCTTCAATACAACCCTACCATTAGGGATCGAAACCTGAATGTTCGGTCTCTCAAGTAAACACTTAACCTCTAAACCAAAATCAATCTATATAACATAAAATATTTGCTAAACCTTTTATGAAATTGTATGTTATCTGTGCACCAAAAGTACATTGAGCAGATTGATATAAA